CCCATAGGGTCAGGATCTTTCCGATGGGAAGCTTGAGAACTCCACCTACAATGCTTGCCAGAATGGTCGCCGTGCTGACCTGAGAAGCATTCTGAAAGTTGGAATAGGCATAGTAGAGGACATTGGAACCGATAGAGGAATGCAATGCCAGCATGAAGAAGCAGATCCAGATCCTATAGATGTTCAGAGTCTAGTTCACCTGTGGTTCTTTTCCTAGTACTCACCAGCCATAGGTCGCGAAAACAGCTTTCTTGCTCCAGACTAAAGCAACAGCCTCGGCCTTGCGCACACCATCTGCAGCATTTGCGCTGACCTCGTCGGGATGTTCCCGGATTTCCTTATCCGCATGACCGAGGTTGTCCAGGCCATCATCCACTGTGTTTTGTTCCACGTTGAGATCGGTCTTCTCGTTTTCTTGTGCTGGGCGCAGGTCCTCAACGATCACACGGTCTTTCCGACCACGAGTCAGATTAATCACACCCATGACTTGCAGGCGAGTACCTTCCTTATATACAGGGAGCCCCAGAAGAAAAGAGTAAGAATATAAGAAAGAAAAGGAAAGATAATGGGATGATCCGGGAGCCCACCTATATATGGAGCATCTAAAAAAGATTTTAGTATTTTCATTCCTTATAGGAACTAACCAAGAAAGCTTCCAAAGTTGGAAACGTAGCTAAGACTTATTGCAGTTAGTTCACCGAAATGCCCGATAAACGGATCAGATAATCCAAGCCATGGAATTAGTCTCTAAAAACGGCCTAGTCCACACGCCACCAACCTGGAAGGGTATGGGATCCCCCAATGCTTTTCACGGCTGAATTATGCCGACACAATTCTGCGCAGTGATTGCTTTACGGGCCCATCGACCAGGTCCGGCTGGTCTCCTGTATTTGGCGAGGCATCTTGGGACAAGCCAGTTTGTCGGTAGCCACTGGTCATTTTTTATCTTCTTTTTGATTTGCACTCTATTATCTTCCTAACCTTTTATCTTAATTTACCTTGCAGACGAATTCAAATATAATATTCTAGTTGCAACATTGGAAGTAGCGAGTAGATATGACTGGGATATCCAAGGGGAAAACACTTATTCAAATACATACCAGTCCACGGGTCGGCTCACTTAATAGACACGAAAGGCATGTTGTATGATCCAAGTCAGAACCCGAATGATAACACCACCATTTTGGACGGGTCTTTTGCGCAGAGTGCAGGGGCATACAATAAGCTGCTTTTTGGAGCTCCACCCGAAATCAGCAGGATATCATGCGATGCAGAGGTGATTTTCAAAAGTACTTTGTCGTAGGATTCAGATGGATTGAATTAACTGTATTGACTCTATTAAACTAGAAGCGATGAATGGGTACATAATTCCCGGAATATTGCTAGTATGTGCCTACCTTCGTACCTTCACACTTTCGTATCCATCTTATCAGATGAACATTATCAGATCAATCGAAAGTTCACGTCCCGTGTATTATCCATGGATTCCCTTCCGAGTTTTCTCCCGAAGTCAGCCCTCGGCAGATGCACTATCGGGAGATCTATATTTTCTATCCTTACCAGAGGAAAACTTTTTTTTTTCTCGGAGTTTCTCGCTGTCGGGCCGAACTCGGCAGATCCAGATCTATATTGTCACACCCTGAAGTATGAACAAGCTTAGCTTTAGATCGAGATGATCCACGGCTTTGCCTTAGCATAAGCTGAAATGTTCACCGTCAGTGCCCATTTGGCAATGTCTCCTTTTCGCCACTTGAGTGTCTCGTATGGATTATTACTATTCTCATGTCCAAGGTTGTCGGAGTGGTCCGGGCAAGGGTTCCCTTTTGGGTTAGCCTATTTTCTTTTCTTTTCTTTCTAATGTTCCACGTGGATGATGAAACAGTACATTAGTTGAATCGGATCGGTATAGCATTAGCGTTGGCAAAGATCATCTGAGCTCAGCGAATTAAAAAACAGACTCGCATCTGATAACGTAAATCTCTTCCTGAGGACCTCCACACATGGTTCACCATTCTCGCCCAGCTGATAACTGGACAACAGCGAACTGGTCCCACCGGGACATTCCCGCCTGCACATGGAAGGCATTAAAAGAAAGACGCCCCTACTTGCCATAAACGGGGTATGTAGCCTTAGAAAGCCTAAGTTACTCCAGGTGAGGTGCAAAGTAATTGTTTTGGAAAACGAGAAAAAGTTAAGCAGAATCTACCAGAGAAATACCTAGGTAGACCCTGGAATGCAGTTCATGCAACTTTAACCTTGAACACGATATGCTTATTTTGACATTGCAGGCGACGCTAGCCTTGTACTACCTAGGTAGCCGAGGACGCTGGGTTGGCTTGCAGCTTGCATACATGCGTATCCCACATATGTAGCTACTTGATAGCTTGATGGATGTACACCAGACCTTTCTTAATGATAATGGTAGAGTATATACTTGAAATATGAAGATTTTATGGATTTCATGCATGAATAGCGAAGATGTTCTTGCTACATACTCAATAATGAGCGTTATTAGATCCTGCGGTATGTGACCGTCCACTCTCGAAGCAAACGCCGTGAAGACAGAAAAGAAACCACAGAGGCGTAGGAAACCCAGCTTTCAGATATTACTACATTTGCTTTCATATGCATCGTGACATTACGAGAGACGTAATGTTTTCTCGCGCTTCGAACGGCTTACTTGTTGCGTTGTGCAGCAGCCTCGGCGGTCAACTTCAAGCCCGCAGGGGCATCTTCGCGAGGCATGTACACCTCAACCAACTAGAAAGTGCGTTAGCAGACAATTCGGGACTTCCTAATATTGATAACTCACTCGAAGCTTGTCGGACGCGTTGAAGTCCTTGTCGGCGAACAGCTTATTGAGCTCATCACGGGTCTTGATACGGTAGCCTTGGTAGTTGTCCTTGGCTCCGAAGACCTTGGGGATGTTGGCAAAGTCCCATGGCTGGATGTCGTTGTAAGCTGCGTCCCATCCGTGGATGTATCGCTCGATAGTGTAGCCGTCGTTGCAGATAACGAAGCTAAAGATGGTCGGGTCAGTATATGATATGAGAATTCTGGGTTGATAGGGATGCTTACACGATAGGGTTCAACTTATTTTTCAGGATAGTGCTCAGTTCCTGAACAGTCAGTTGGATACTCCCGTCGCCAATAAAGAGGATGGTTCGACGGTCTTCCTGCTCCTTAGCAGCGAGCGCAGCGCCCTGGCAGGCTCCCATGGAATAGCCAATGCTGCCCCAAAGCACTTGACTAACGGCAGTTACGTTCGCGGGGAAGCGAGTGTCCCAAATACCAAAGTTCGCAGTGCCAGTCTCTGTAAGGACGATATCCTTTTCTTTTAGCCACTGTCCGACGATTGGCCAGAGCCACTTGTGGGTGATGGTCTGATCAGAAGAGGTCTCCTCGCTTTCGGGCAGTCGGTTCGTGATCTGAGGAGTAGGAGCCGGGGTCAGAGGATTCATCCGCTCAATGACCTTCCTCAAAACACCTTTCATGTTTATGTCAGGATACTCCGAGTACCGCACTCTCACAAAGGTACTATGGAAGTCAATGGTGTTCAGCTGTCCAACACGATAAGTGAAACCGGTAGTGTTGAAATCGGACTTGATCGCTCCAATGCTCAGAATGAGGTCGGACGACTCGACGGCCTCACTGACGCCAACGTTAGACCCATTGCCAGCATAAACACCACCAAAGTTTTTGTGAGTCTCGTTCACGGCTCCCTTGCCCATCGGAGTCACAAAGGTCGGCAATCCAGACTTCTCCACCAAATCACGCACTTCTTCTAGCACGCGGTGACGGATGGCACAGGCGTCAACCAAGATGACTGGGTTCTTTGCGGCATGAAGATACTTCAGGACAACGCCGACCACGTAATCCTCCTTCTCCGGGTCATTCTTAGGCAGTGAAAGATCAATCGGGGTCTTCAAGCGATCACCGTTGACCTTGGCCGCCACAAGGTCAGTTGGCAGAGTGATGTATACCGGACGGCTGCGGATCCAACATTCACGAATTGCACTGTCGATCAGAGTGGCTGCGTCATAGGGTTCGTTTAGGCGTGCGACGTAGCAGGAGATGCCCTCGCTCATTTTGGTGAAGACATTGAAGTCGCCGTTTCCGAGAGTGTGGTGCAACAACATTCCATCCTTTTGAGACTGTGTGGTGGGCTGGCCAACGATATGGATAACTGGGACAAATTCGGAGTAGGCGCCTGCGATGGCGTTGAGGGCGGACAGCTCTCCAACACCAAATGTGGTGACTAGCGCACTGATACCGTTTACACGAGCATAGCCATCGGCGGCATAGCCTAAGAGGAACCAACGTTAGATCCAGATCATTCGTTTGTAGTATAGTAGTCTGTCTTACCGGCATTGAGTTCGTTGCAGTTTCCAACCCAATTGATACCACACTTGGACACGTAATCCAATGCTGCAAGATTGTAGTCGCCAGGTACACCATGCAATGAGCGGATTCCAACCTCGTGGAGACGTCGGAATAAGTACTCTGCCACATCCACGGGATTCTTTAGCTCCCTGGTGGCAATATCGGTAGTCGCCATGATGAATTGATGTGTTTGGGGAGAGAGGTAGATAGGAAAGAGAAGAAGAAAAAGGTGAGAGGTGTGATCGAGGGAGTAAGAGGTATAAAAGAGCGCAGATTGCACTTTTGTTCCAAGTTCCCTGATGAGAAAGGTGAGACCACTTTGGCTACGTCATTGAATTGATGTCATGCCATCATTTGCTTTTCTTATGAGATTGGACGTTTTGTTTTAGAGCTATCTTGACTATAGTAAAATAGTAAAATAGTAGAATAGATAAAGATTATATATCTAAGATCTAATAACACATACAATAATGTATATAGCCCTGGAGTCCATTGTACCAAGCATAACTAGGCCATCCCCGGCTAAACCCAACACAGGCAATCTCCGCCGATCACACAAAACTCCCACCCCCACCATCTGGGCATCTCAAACCACAATCCTGGATTAGTCTATCTAAATGGGGAAAAGAGCTATGCCGGACAGATCAAATCCCTCTTCAAAGAAGAGAAAGGTCAGTTGCTGAATATCGATTGCCCACTGCACTAACTAATGGCACTAGGGTGGTGCAAAATATGGGAAGCAGGCAAGTCGCGTCGCTATTGAATCTGGCGATGTAGGTGTCTTTTTGACATGCGATATGGGGAGAGAAGGAAAATGTCTGTCAGAAGCAGTGGATATCTTTTCTCAGGTAAGATTGTCCTTTTCTTCTTCTTTTTTTCTTTTTTTCTTCCTTGGTTTTTTTCCATCTTTTTCCCGCTTTGAGATTATTCCTACAGTTTTGCTAACTTTTGTTCTAGGTCATCGAGGGCACTGAAAATAAAGAGGAAGAAGACGAAGATACCGATGATGAAGATATCGAGGCCCAGATCCGAAGGGAACTGGAGGGCCTACAGCCCAGTAAAGACAAAACTCGTCAATTCCAGCCAGTGCAGATGGATATGCCATGTGGTAAGTCTCCTATTATTCAAAAACCCAATCCGTTTATGCGCTAGGTCCCGGAAATGTTCATCGGTGCTAATCCTGATAGTAACATTCATGCGTCTTGATCCCTCAATAGACCCGGTGCAGCTTGTGCACCGTCTGTGTAGCGAAGCGCATGCCCATCCGGAGACTAAGAAGAGTCGATGGATTAAGCGCATGCATCCAGTCACGTCAATCCGGAAGACGCTGAGTGTGGACCTAACGGCATTTGCGAAAGAGATTCTCAAGCCTCATTTCCATTCTGGAGGGCCACCGAAAACGGTGAGTTGTAGAGCCTTCCTCTATCTCCCTCCCTCTTTGGGTTTCTGGGCACTCGGGGATCCTACTGTTTTTGGAAATGATCCGATCATGCATCTCGCTGTGAGTGGTGATATACTTTGAGCATTGCTGATCTGCCACCTATTTAGTACGCCATTCGGCCTACTGTGCGAGGCAACTCGAAGCTCAACCGAGACATTATTATTAAGACTGTTGCCGATGCTGTCGGTCCCGAGCACCCGGTGAATTTGAAGAACTATGATTTAATGATCCTCGTTGATGTTGCCCAAGTGAGTACAAAAATAACACTCTCCTATGGGGTCTTTAACTGACTCGCGCAGAACGTGATTGGAATGAGTGTAGTGCAAGGTGATTATGATAAGCTGAAGCGGTTCAACTTGGCCGAAATCTACGATCCTTCACCAAAAGCAGAGCCAGCAGGCACTGCCACTGAGTCTAAAGCTTAGTACGAATGACACAGTACTTTCCCCTAGTAGCCTACCAGGTTACTTCGATGAAATTTTATTGTACATACTATCGCCCACGCTGCACTTATATTCATTTTCACCGCTGATCTCCATACAACATACACTTCTTCTAACCAGTCCTTTCAAGTAAACCTACTCGCTTCTATATTCATAGGCAGGCGTCATCAAACAATAACCCAGAATGGTCATTTTGACTTCGTGTGTAGCAAAATGAATTTGATCACAGAAGCTATAAGACATCATCGATATTGGGGTCAACCAAATGCATTCAGTTTCCCCTACAAGTAAGGGTAATGAGACATAAGTGAAGGCCCCCCTGTTAGAACTTCCAAGGTTACTATATTTTTATATTCTTCCCCTTGGAGTATTGTTCCATTGTTTTAGCAGTGAATTGCAAAAGGAAATACTCTAGGAACATGTGCACGTTTGACATGACATCAACTGCATCGATGCTAATGGCACTCTAGTTGACGTCGAACCCTGGTCTTTACTACCTAGGTACAGGTACATCACACTCCCTGCAGCTAAAATGTTCTATCACAGGGCCTAAAAGTTCTCGGCAACTGAATTCATGCAACAAGCCGTCCTAAAACCTACAATCGAGAGGGAAAAAAAACCATATTGAATTATTGAACCAGATACAGAAGCTATATGCCGATTTAAGGGTCCATTATAACTTCAGAAACTCATTGAAATGCAAGTCCTTCCACTTAAGAGTAAAGCTCCGGTGGCTTGCATCGGTTCGGTCCCAACATGAGAAGTGATAAGCAGATGTGCGTAGTTTTAAATTCGAACGTAACAAGCGAAATCAATTTCGGGAAGTAAAGAACAAATCGAACGTTGACAGAGTTCTATGCTGAAATGCTGAAATGCAATGACGGGAAGTATTCGGTAAGGGACCATTCTGATTGGTCGGGGACAAAGTGCTCGGATGATCACCTTTCTTAGAGTGGGATGCTTAGGCGAGACGGCTTTACTTAGTTTACTTGTCCCATATTTCTTCTTAATCCTGAGCCAATGGTGACAACAGGGTCCTGGGACTCTCGCTTGTGAATGTCGTCTCGGCGAAACATAGTCTTCTAATTCGACTCCGCTGACTATGTTTACGTCTTCTCTTTCGTATCTCGCGTTGGATGAACCGAGAAGCGAGAGTCATGGCGCTGAAATCTGCTGCCAACGTCTTTCTATTGTGGGTAATGTACGGAGTAAACGATCATGGCGGTCTCTTGTGCCCCATTGATATTCGAAGATCTCTACGGACTATGGATTCTAGAAGCGAATTTGCGCCACGTCTACTCCGTACTGGGACTTTTCAATTCAAACTATCTCGGCATATACCTAGCCCGATGGACATATATGTCCTTTTATTACCAATAGCAGGGTCTATGAGTTGTGATAGCCTTGTTCATACATCATCATCCCCTGCCACTATCTTTTCCACTTCAAGGGCCGTCAGAGCGTTGCTTATATAGCATCCCCACCCCTCCCACCTGTTAGCCAATATCCCCCACCAAATAGCTCACGATGCAACAGCTTGACTTGAAAACATGGTCTGCGATGCCACCAGTCAATGGGAAAAGCGGGCACAACGAATCTTTTCATCGGCAGCCTCATGCCGCCGAGGTTGACGAGCATCATAGACTAGACGATGTCCTCTCGCTGCTGTTTCCTTCTACGGTACATGTGCAACACTCATATCCGATTTCTGGTCACATGCACTCATTACGGCTTCTGACGCTGTCGAATGGAGCTCAATTGTTGCTAAAGGGGTCTCCGTCATCAAGGACAGCTCTCCTCCGACGTGAGCGATCATTCCTCGAAACCGAAGCCCAGTTCCTTGCTCTTCTAGGGCAGAGTGGAAACCCTTGTATCCCCCAACTCTATCATTATGATCCTTATGGAAGACCCTGGGGATCTGCCTACTTGATCCGGCAGTATATGAAAGGGAAGAGTCTGTCAGAGATGGAAGGCAAACTCACCTCCCAGCAACTAGAAGGTATCAACCGCCACCTGGGCTTCTTGGTGAGCACCATCGGTCAAAATGCAGCCCCTGGGTTTGGTTCCTTGCAGCAAGTGGCATTTGGCGCTGGAAGACCTTCCTGGCGAGAAGCCTTCTGTGCCCTGTTTGAAGGCATTCTTCGCGACGCCGAGGACATGTTCATCCACCTTCCTTACTCGGAGATCCGACACGAGCTGAGTCGCCTAGCGCCTGCTCTTGAATATGTATCCCTGCCACGTCTTGTGGTCGTGGACTTTGGTCGACCCTCCCATGTTTTGGTAAATGAAGAATCTGGACAGTTGTCTGGAATTGTGGACTTCAGCAGTGCCATGTGGGGTGATGTTCTGATGGCAGAGATCTTTGCGAATGCGTCCCCGGCGGTCTTGCAGGGAGCAGGGATGGCGGCGTCTAGGACAAGGGAGGAAAATATCCGGCTGGTCTTGTATGTGTTTAGAATACCATCTCGATTTAGCGCGATGTAGCTAACTCTTTCTTTTCAACTTAGGTACGCGTGCTACCGGCTGGTGTCCCGAATTACTGTGCAATATTACCGAAAGCGAGATGAGACGAGCGAATTCGATGCGCGGAGAAGATTGACAACCACGATTGCGGAAATGACGAGGCTTCGACTGGCGTGATGGCCCTGAATTAACTGAGTCTTTATATGTCCAATGTGATACCTAGACGATCACGATTAGACTGGTTCTGTTGCATAGCGAGATCTATTCAAGCGGAGGGCCCTATCTCGCTGCATGTGATTTGGAGTTTTCTTCATTTTTGCATTGATATTATAGCGTTCTTACCAAGGGGTCAATTGAAATGAAATTCAATCTCCGTATCGCTAATCCGTACATATATATGAATGCCATTGCACATACAAGAGAAGAATCAAGTTGCCTTCAATGCCAAGTCGGAACCGATAGGGCGATAGGGGCGGAGCGGGGCAGATCCGTTGTTTAGCTTCTGCATGGCGTCAATGGTGTTCCCTCTCCGCACTTAACTTCTACTTTTACTTTTCCATAACCTGCTACACCTCTATCGCAGATGGCTCAGTTCCTGCGAGGAAAGCAAGCTGGTATCCAGAAGGACCTATCCGAGGGCTTGTCCCCGGACTTGTTCCTCCTGGACGATGTAAGTTCTTGGCATCCCAGGCATCCTCTTTTTTCCCAACTGACACCGCTGTTCTCAGTTCGCACGATGTGGCGTGAATTCGCAGATTAGTGCTATCGCATACGATCCCATACAATCCCTCATCGCAGTCGGCACCAGTGATACCCAGTTCGGAAGCGGGCAGATCTATGTCTTTGGGCAACGACGGGTTTCAGTGGTCTTTCAGTTCCCGCGGAAGGCGTCCGCGCGGTTCCTTCAGTTTTGCGCCGACAAACTGATTAGCATCGACTCCAGGAATGAAATCTGCGTGTACTCCTTGGCGACTGGATGCCAGGTGGTTTCCTACACGCCCCCGGGCCATGTGACTGCTTTGTTAACGGACCCGTGCTTGGATTATGCGTTTATCGGCATGCAGAATGGTCCGTAAATTACTAGGCGGAAGAGAAGAACTGCATATTGACCGTGAATAGGTGAAATCATTGCGTACGATCTCGATCGAGAGTCCTTGACGCCGTTCAAAGTTCCGAACTTGTGGTTGGAACGAAACCCCCCGCGCGCGGTTTTCCCCGTCGTATCTCTGGAGTTCTCTCCACGAGACATTGGCAAGATCCTAGTGGGATATCCAGAGGGAGCAGTGACATTTACATTCAAACAAAATGTTGCTCAAAAGTACTTTGTCTACGAAATCCCTCCTGGGGCACCTGGTGGAGACTCCCTACCGTCCCGCGACGTGCGCAGACCCAAATTGACCAACGCGATCTGGCACCCCAACGGAATCTTCATTTTGACTGTTCATGAAGATTCAAGTCTAGTGCTTTGGGATACGAAGGATGGCCGTAAACTTCATGCCCGGACTATCCAGACACCCAATGTCGACCAACCAGGTGCTGGCAGACCAGGCTCACCTGGCGAGCCTGCTGGACCCAAAGAGCCAATCACAAAGGCTATTTGGTGCGCAAAAGATAACCCGGACGACACTGGTCTTTTGGTGGCTGGTGGTCGACCAGTAGGCGATCAGAGCAAGGGCCTCGTTTTCTTGGACATGGGCTCAACCCCCAATTATCAGACGTCCTCCTGGCAAATCCTGTCTACTTACCTCGAGCGTCCGCGGCGACAAATAAACCTTTCAGTCCCACCGGGAGCTAAGGTTGTCGACCTCTGCCTCATCCCCCGATCCTCGCCCTACTTCAATGGCGCCCATGATCCAATCGCACTTATCGCTATGCTATCCTCGGGTGAAATTGTTTCCCTGAGTTTCCCCAGCGGACACGCAATAACTCCTACTAACATGCTTCATCCGTTTCTCACTTTCGTCCACCCCTTTGTAAATAAAGCTGTGCTTACTCCCGTTGACCGGTCGGTGTGGCTTGGTCTGAAAGAGCGCCGATTGCAGGGACCGAAGTTTGCCTTGGGCGGCGCAGAAGCGAAGAATCCTCTCAAACGCTTTGAGAACCGCAACGTCATTTCAACCGCGCACGCAGATGGGACAGTCCGTCTCTGGGACTGTGGGCACGATGATGAAATCGAGAACGGCGACGTGGTTCAAGTTGATCTTGCCCGCGCCATAGGCCGAGTCAGCAACATCGAGGTGACTGAAATGTCTCTCGCCAGCGGCACAGGGGAAATGTCTATTGGACTCAAGACCGGCGAGCTTGCTGTCTTCCGATGGGGCAATAACCCCTCATACGGGAGTGAGGAGCCTCCCGGTGTCAATCAAGGGCCAGGGAAGCTGACTACGATAACTAAGCGAACGGACCCTGGTCTCAAGACGGGAATGCTACCTCTGACTCTTTTGGATATGCAACAAGGTCCGGTGACGGCGTTGAAGCATGGGCTGGTTGGATTTGTAGCGGCCGGTTACCAGAGTGGTACTTTGGTCATTATTGACCTGCGCGGACCAGCCATCATACACACCGCACATTTATCAGACTTGCTCAAGGGACCGAAGCGGAGCGGTTTCCTCAAGAACCGTGGCTCGGAGGAAGTCAAACCAGAATGGCCCACTCAGATCGAATTTGGTGTGATGACTTTGGACGGCGAAGGTAATTATGCATGGCTTGGGCTTGCGAATCAAACCAGTGTACTGACTATGTTATAGACTACTCAAGCATATGCTGCTTTGTCGGCACGAATAGGGGCAATGTGGCAACATTCAAGATCCTCCCTGGTTCCAATGGCACCTACGAAGCTGCTTTTGCTGGATCATCGGCTGTTGAAGACAAGGTGATCAATGTCATTCCCATCGATGCCGACTCTGGCGGTCTTGCTCTGGCTACACCAAGTGCAGTCGGAGGCTTGAGGAATGGCGTGAAAGTTAATGGTGTCGTCATTGCCGTGACTGCCTCTGGCTGTCGAATCTTCAAGCCCCCAACATCAAAGGGTGCCCACAAGGCATGGGATGACTATCTCTGTGACTCAGCAGCCGTCGTCAAGACTGAAGGACGAGGCTACAGCTTGGTTGGTCTCTTCGGTGACGGCCACGCGCGAGCATTCTCGATCCCCGCTCTTCGAGATATTGGTTGCACCAAGATTAACCATATTGCGGATATGCGACGCCTATCGGAATCTTGTATCACCCCTACTGGAAACATCATGACATGGGTCGGCCCGTCAGAAATTGGAATGTTCAATGTCTGGGGAGGTGGAAACGGACTGTATGTGTCCCTCATCAGTTCGCTGAAACATGGTGCTAATGCTAACCCTGCCCACAGACACCCTTCAAAAGACAAACTTTTCAACCCCGAAGCCGTGGTTCCCCCGCGTCCTACCATCACGAACGTCCAATGGATCTCCGGCACACAATACATTTCGCCGGCTGACATGGACATTCTGAGTACGTCAAACCCCGTCGATGCCATTCTAACTGTAATCTAACCTCAAATCTAGTCGGTGGTCCGGACCGACCTCCATCGAAGGGGATGGTCGAACAAATGAAATTCGAAGAGCAAGAACGTCGGAAAGCCCAAAAAGAAGGCCGGACCCCACCGACAGCTGCAGGTGGCAGCCAGGAAGGCTACTGGTCTTACATGTCACGTCAAGTCCAAGAACGCACGGAGCGTCTCGGGATTGTCGGAGATAGCATGGACAGGCTAGAGGAGAACAGCAGCGGCTTTGCTAACGATGTCGGCAAATACGTACAGCAACAAAAGAAGAAAGCTGTCTTGGGCGGTAAGTCGATCTTCCTTCAGGTCCACAAACCTATGTATAGTGTTTAACCCCCTTGCATAACTGTCGCTGACCGGTATTTCACAACAGCACTTGGTTCGAAGTTTGGCTTGTAGGCGATTTCTCCTAGTGAGTACTAGGTTTTTCAAAATGGTTTAACTATACAGAGTAGGGGTCTTTATCTTTTTTTTTGCCGGCGTCAGGCTAGTTAGGCCATCGTGTCTGCTGGGATGTGATAGATCACTTTGCAATATCATCCCTCCATTTCTTGACTTCCCGCTTCAAGTTGGATCCACCTTGATCGTACTCCATACAATTGTAGGTGTTTCTTTGTTTTTGGTAAATTTAAAGCAGAAGGCTGTTTGATACTAATCCATGCCCTGGTAGATATCTGGGAGTCGGTTTTATGTGGCACAAAAACGGCCTTGCAGCTGTGCCTGTTACGACATATTTAAAGGAAAGGAATATGAATGGCAGATTGAAGGTCGATGGGATTCAAAATTATACCAATTCTATTTCAAAGACCTATAGTAAATGTCAATTCAGGGGAAGGACATGGAAAATCAGTCCAAGGGTCGTAAACATTGCGTTCTGGCTGTCATTAAATAGCATTCAAAAAAGTAAGAGTTTAAAAGCAGAGAAACCACTCCTGCGAGACGGCGGGACACCATGATTTAGTGTACCATGAGCTCGGGCTGAGGCTGGTGAGTTGGCTTGGCAGCATCATCCTTGGGTTCTGTGTCGTCGCCCATCTCGACATCGTCGTCACCATCGCCGCCCTCTTCCTCATCAAGGTCATCCTCATCGTCGTCACTCTCCGCCTCGAGATCTTCACTCTCGGCATCGGAGATCTCTTCTTCCTCATCCTCCTTGCCAGCAGGGGCATCGGCGCCTTCCATCTCGTGGTCATCGCCTTGGGCGGGCTTGTTGGATTCCTCGAGCTCCTTGAGGAGCGCAGCCTCGAGCTCGCGCTCCTCGGCACCGTAGGCCGCACTATCATCGTCGAGACCATCGGCCTCGGGCTGGTCAGGCGGGTACTCTGCAGGGGCAGAGTCATCAGAGTCCCTGTGGAGAAAAAAAAGTAAATGAAAGCCCCATCAGGCATGTAAACAAACAAAACAAGGGGTCTCACCATTTGATGGCGAAGCGGGTCACACGGGGCTTCTCAGCGAGGACATTGCGGCGAATACGCTCGATAACGGGCTTCGCGGGGGGGCTCGGCTGCCAGCTCCTCGCTGTCGTACTCGTTGTTCACGTAGTAGCCAACCCGGACGAACTCTCGGCCGTCATAGCTGCATGTGAGCAGGATGACGGTGACGCCAAGCATCTCTGAAGTAGGAATGCGCTTGACATCAGGTGCATCTGCCTCGAAGATGAACTTATTCACCCCGACCGGGATGGGTCCGACGAGGAGGGAATCGAGTTCTTGGTCATACTCGGAGCTGTTATAGTTAGACCCTGCGGAATTGGTAGGAAATAAGGAGTGTTGGGAGGGTGGACGTACGAAGTGGCGGATCCGACGTAGGTGAGTTTCCATTCCAAATCTGAAAGGACTCGTTAGAAGACTCGACTAGGAATATTTCAATCAGGTCAGTACTCACCCTTCTGAAGCTGCTCAAGGCACTCGAACGTGATTTCGAATTGGTAAGGGGCGGTGAAAGGAGCCGGGTTGTTGAGGTTTTTCACCCCGAGTAGTGACACGACGGACATTGTGATAAGATATGAGAGTATTTAAGTATGTACGGAAGGTTGAAAAGTTGAAGAGGCAAGAGTAGAATATTGTATAAACAGAGGGGGGTGTGGAAAGAAGAAGGAAATAGAGAAATCAAGAGAAATCAACAGGTCCACAAGAATGCAGTTTACTCTCAACCCCTCTAGCTCAATGCGAGGAGCCCATCGATCGACGCGCCTTTCGCGTCCCTCGCATTGTCCTCACCGCCCGCACGTGACCCCAATTTCACTACCCGGGCAACTTGCATCACCAGCCATCGCAGCTTTGCTCTCCCTCTTAGCGATTATTTGCTATCAGACACATTGCGGCTGAGGGTTATCTCGTCAAAAGTGGCTGTGCTCCACCTTAACCCTTGACCTTCGGAAGATTCGTCTTTATTCTAGCTTAATCTGATATCGTCGCGCAAACCCTGCTTAGCTTGCGCCGTGAACCTGTGACTTTACTAGTTGCTCACTTTTCTTCTACCTTGCAGTTATCGCACTAATCATCCCATCATGGCGGATGATGAAGCCGAGACTGCCTTCTTTCAGGCTCAAGCCTTGAATCCCGATTCCCAATCCCCTACCGAGGAGCAGGAAGGTGATAACTCAGACGCAGAATCAGATGACTACGACCCCTCACTGGCGTTGGGAGATCAGTACTCGGCCTCCTTTCCCGAGACAAAGAAACCTGATGCCGACCCCGCTGATGCAGCTCCCTCGGATGAGACCGAAGATGCCATCCCCAACCCAACCGTCGCCTCAGATGCAAACGTCGCCTCGGAAGTAGACGCAGACGCTGGCCAGACCAGTAACTCCCCGGACCCTTCTCACAACCCCTCACGTGCTGAGTCGTCGACCCCCGCGCCAGCATCTGCTGCTGAGGCACAGCCCAAGACCCGAACAATTGGCGGATTTGAGGTTGATGATGATGAGGATGACGAGGGTGATGCGGAGTATGAGCCGCCGGCTGTACTTGGGGGCGAAGATGTGAATGCTATGCCTGTGACCATGTCTGAAGATCCCAGCTCAGGAAATGCAATGCAAAACACTTCCCCTGATGTATCATCACACCAAACTGAGCAGGGACCTGCCAGTGGACCAGATGTTGCCAATAGTTCTTATTCTCCTGATCCTGTTCATAATATTGATCCCTCTTCTGTTTCTGGCCAATCGCACTGGGCTGCGCAAGACTTGCAATCCGCAACGATGCAGAACAGTACTGTCCCTACTCCTGTACCTGACTCTCCAGCTTCGAAGGGTCGTCTGGCCCACGACCGTGTCGGCATGCTGGAAGACCGGATTCGAGAGGATCCCCGAGGTGATATCCCTGCTTGGTTGGAGTTAATTGCCCAGCACAGAAGCCGCAACAGATTAGACAGCGCACGCGAGACCTATGAGCGGTTCTTGAAGCTGTTTCCCATGGCGGTAAGCCTGCCTTTGCCCCCCTCTCTTTGTGCTTTCCTTTTCTTTCTCGGCTATGTACAAAATTGCTAATGGGATACATCATAGGCCGACCAATGGGTGGCTTATGCCAGCATGGAGTCTGAGCTCAATGAATTCTTCCGCTTGGAGCAGATCTTCAACCGAACGCTCCTGACGACCCCCAGCGTTCAGCTCTGGTCCGTCTACCTTGATTACGTCCGCCGTCGTAATCCTTTGACTACAGATGCCTCTGGCGAGGCAAGGAAGACCATTTCATCGGCATATGATATGGCCATTCAATATGTCGGGATGGACAAGGATTCCGGAAACATCTGGGCTGACTACATTGAGTTCATCCGTTCTGGGCCAGGCATCGTTGGTGGATCTGGCTGGCAGGACCAACAAAAGATGGATCTACTGCGAAAGGCCTACCAACGAGCCATTGGCGTGCCGACCCAAGCTGTTAATGCTCTCTGGAAGGAGTATGATCAATTCGAGATGAACCTAAACAAGCTGACGGTAAGCTGAACAGTACTCGATTCCAACTGGCTTGTATTAACCTTTTCTACCAGGGCCGCAAATTCCTTCAAGAACATTCGCCGTCCTACATGACTGCGCGTAGCTCATACACCGAATTGCAAAACATCACTCGCGATTTGATTCGCACTTCGCTTCCACCGATGCCTCCCCTTCCGGGATCTGAAGGCGATGTTGAATTCTCAGCACAAGTAGATATCTGGAAGCGCTGGATCGCATGGGAAAAAGAAGATCCTCTGGTCCTGAAAGAGGAAGACCCTGCCGCTTACAAGGCACGCGTGGTGTACTTCTACAAACAGGCACTCATGGCACTGGCTTTCTTGCCCGAGATGTGGTTTGATGCAGCTGAGTTCTGCTTCTCGAACGACATGGAGGACGATGGACAGAGTTCTTGAAGAATGGCATTGAAGCAAACCCTGAGAGCTGCTTGCTGACGTTCAAACGCGCGGACCGACTGGAGGTTACCTCGGATTCGGAACAGGACTCCGCCAAGCGTGCTGCCAAGGTCCGGGAACCATACGACAAGTTGCTTGATGCACTCTACGAGTTGATCAATAAAGCTCGCAACCAGGAAACCCAGGATGTCGCGCGCATCGAAGCTTATTTTGCTCCACAAAATGCGGAAAGCCAGCCTGCGAATGAGGATGAGGATGATCCTGAAGCCAAAGAAAGAGAAGCTGCCAAGACAGCACAGATTGATGCGGTTCGGAAGGCCCATTCCATTCAGATCAATACTATCTCCAAAACTGTCTCCTTCGCGTGGATTGCTCTCATGCGTTCGATGCGTCGAATCCAGGGTAAGGGAAAACCAGGAGAACTGGCTGGCTCTCGCCAAATCTTTGCCGAAGCCCGGAAGCGCGGTCGAATTACCAGCGATGTTTATATCGCGAGTGCTCTGATGGAGTACCATTGCTACAAAGACCCTGCGGCCACCAAGATCTTCGAGAGGGGTGCCAAATTATTCCCCGAGGATGAGCACTTTGCGCTCGAATACCTGAGGCATCTGCTTGACATTAATGACACTATCAGTAAGTTTACCTCCCATGTTCCTGAGAGCCTTACTAACCACTGCCAAAGATGCCAGAGCGGTGTTCGAAACGACCGTCAGGAAATTGACTTCAAACCCGGAGAACGTGCACAAGGCTAAGCCCATCTTTTCCTTCCTTTATGAGTATGAATCTCGCTACGGTGACCTCACCCAAGTGATCAACTTGGAGAACCGCATGCGTGAACTATACCCGGAGGATCCTGCTCTGGAACAATTCGCCAATCGTTACTCTAACTCCAACTTCGACCCTACGTCAGTGCAACTGATTTTGTCCCCGTCCCAGACAAAGCAAAAGACCCACATGCCAGGAATCTCGGCGGAAACCCACGGTTCTCCCATGGCCAGATACCTGGATACCTCCCTCAACTCACCTAAGAGACCCTATCCCATTGATGATTACGATGAAGATTCAGGTCGCCCACGGAAGTTTGTTCGCGCTGAGTCGCCAATGAAGAGCGCGCAAGCTCGGCGTCTCGACCAGCCGAAACGAGTACAACAGTTGAATGGCCAGAGCACCTCATACAGACCCCAAGGATCTCCAGCTCCCCTGCCTCGTGAAGTGGTGAATCTCTTGAGCATCCTGCCCCCTGCGGCTGCCTATAACATCACTCGTCTTTCTCCCGAGAAAATGATAGATCTTCTTCGTCACGTTGAAATTCCTTCCGACGTTTCGCAGATACAGATCCCGCAAGCTACACACGGACCGGGTGGAGGCCAAACCCCGGGACTGAACCCCTACTCCGGTAAGTCTCATCATCTATCTCTCCCATAATGACATTCTCACTGACATACCATCCACAGGTGGTTACCGTTGATCCCGTGGTTGTTCGTTTCCCCATGGGGCCCACGGTTCACCTGCAGTGTAAATCTCTTGCCCTCTGCTTTTGCGATTCTTTTCCCGGCGCACAAAATATCCCGATTCGTCTTTGAGGACTTGATGCCCGGCTCTTTTTTTCCTGGGCATTTCATGAAACATGGTCGGGGCATACGTGGTTGTTCAGAGCCCAGCCCCTTTTGCATCTTCCATCGGCGTTGATCTATCTGGCATTTATTTCTTTCTATTTTTTTCAAATAGGGCCACAGGCCATCAATATCTGCTTGCTGGTTGTGTGGACCCAACCATGCTTTGTACAGACTCAGATAAGCAGTTAATCTCACAATTGACTCCAGAAAACACCTTCCGCACGGAAATTTGTAATGAATCAATCCGTTATTTTAGGAGTAAATGAGACCCATACCATCGTTCGCCTATAGATCTTAGGTCCATATGGCCTGAACTCCCCGGTGCCTCTTGTCTGGCTGACCAATATTTCATTGATGAATTCCATGTCCACCTGATATTGCAATATCCACGGATATAAGCTTAAAGCGACCTTGGGTACCCTCCTGGAATGGTGGGGTAGTGGGGCCCTACGTCATTTTATACTCTGTCCAATCCAAAGCCCTACACGTACCTACCTAGGTAGGTAGGAAATGTCTTTTTGCTTACACAATTGTGATAGTGCTGGGGAAAACCACGACCACAGCCTCAACTTAATACATAGACGTAAAACTACCCATTGGATTTCAGGTAGTGCTGCATGGCACCTCAACTCAAAATGCCCTCGACCTTTTCGGCGGCTTCGCATCGGGATACTGTTCCCGATGGAAGTCAATCACACACCCATCGGGGTTATCTTTGAGATTCCCATCACAACACGCGAACGTAAATCACTCTGGGAAATCCTCGCGCATTTCATCGGTGTCCACTTCAAACTCAGCGTAATTGTCGACATAAAGATCTTCGCCAGTGGGCTCACTTGGTTCTATTATGGATTAGCTTATCGAGCATACTACACCACGATCTCCATTTTAAGCAGTCATACCTGGATGATATCGACAGGTTTCCTTCGTATCTGTCGTGACATCGAATTCCTTCTCGCAATTGACGCAAAACGCGTAATGTGGTACTTGTCTCTTATTGTTGCCAGAGCTCTCTTCGGTATCGGTATCGGTGTCTGTCACCAGCAGTTGACTCTCGGCTTCTTTGCGAGCCTGGTCGTTTTTCGCGCAGATGGATTTTAGAACCGTGCGCAGGGTCTTGTCGGACGCGTCGTTGATCGCGCGACCGAGCGTTGTGGCCTCAAGCACTTCCTCGATAATTGGCATGATGGTGTCTTGCGTTGGCTGGTTTGACTTCGTTCCTTCGTGGTTGTTAATTTAAAAAGTGGGTGAATGGGTGCGATGACTATCCGTGCTAATGCATCCACCGCGGCTCGGGCCTATTATGTCTTTTTTAGTTCTTTTTCTATACACTAGCACGGATAGTCGAGTGGGCCATTCTCACTCTTTTCCGAATTTACGTTTTGATCAAACCATAACGCAAACAAGCATAGCAGATAGATAGACCATATCAATTACTTACGTAGCGGCGGCTAAAGCATTGAGTGAATATGTTAGATTTTGTATGGGCTAATAGATTTCTATAGATTTTATAGGTAGACTAATCTATTCGGTTCTAACATATAACGTGAAACCACGACCTCAGTGAGCGCTAGGATGATATTAAAAATACTAAAGTCGGCTTATTGAAGTATTCATCTATTCCTCACTTTGGTCGCACTTTGATCGCACTTCATATTCCGAAGGTCTGTTCCTTCCAAATATCACGTCTATACCGAGTTTTTCCCAGCCTTTCTCGAGCCCGAACCATATGATATCGTGCGCTGACTTATACGCAAGTGATGAAGCAGCACTAAGAACAACCAGCTTTGGCAGCTTTAGGGCCGCTCTACTAAAATGCACCACCAGAGGTGAAAGGAATGCTGTTGGCTATGGTAAAGAGAGACTTATCCGTAGACCATTTGCTAATATGTCAATTATACTCATCTTACTCAGGTTTTTTCTTTGCTCTACACCGCTGCTTGGAGAGTCTAGGGACACGTCCTTTGCGAAGACACTACGTATGTACCCATGTAGGTAGCCCCATCGGAACCTGCTTCATAGTTGTGGTTTGTCTCCATGCGCTCTACGTACCCCCAATTCGTACCATCCTTTATCTACCGATAAGAAGTCGAGACCTAGAGGGACCGGATTGGAAAATTGTATCTTCAGTCCGTTTACTTCATGTTTCCATTACGACTGGTTGTCGGCTGTTTACCCCGTCTCGGGTATGGGCAGAAGGGCCCTTTCGTAAACAGCTGTCTGGCTCACTGGCTAATTACCTAGGCTAGATTGCCCATCCGGTCTTGTCATGCCAAGCATAATCGTTAAGGTAAACGAAGTATTTGTCAAACGGGGCTGGGCGCGCAAATTGCACCCTTCGTCGCGGTTCTTCAGATCGGCCTCGGCAAGAATACAAGTTTATACTACATTATGAGGATCGTTATTGGTGCATAAAGAGCTTAAAATTAACCATATACGACATAGCAGGAATGGAAAAGCCTTTAATTCTGAGCCTTCGATAGCTATTTTGGGATCTCGACTGAAAGTGCGAGATATCTGAGGACTAGGATACTACGTATTGTTAGACAAACCCTAGTATGCATGTGTACTTTCTAATCACATAGGGCGGACTTTGACTATAGTTTTCAAAGCTGTACAGTGATAGTATTCTATATAATTTGGTAATATTATACTACGATAAGCATCTCTATAGCTTTTACTTTCGAACTTTATATAATATTTAGGATCTCAACTAAAAGTGCGAGATATGTGAAGCAGCATACTTGATATCGCCATATATACATGTTTAATTAGATATGGCGGAATTTGACCGAGTTGTTATAATTGTTGTGGTTTTCGTGCTTGTGGTCGTCGTGCTTGGTCGTGCTTGTGCTGGTCGCGCTTGGTTGTGCTTATGGTGGTCGTACTTGGTCGTGCTTATGGTGTTCGTGCTTAGTCGTGCTTGTGGTCGTCGTGCTTATGGTGTTCGTGCTTATGGTGTTCGTGCTTATAGTGTTCGTGCTTAGTTAGTCGTGCTTGTGGTTGTCGTACTTGGTCGTGCTCGTGGTCGTCATGCCTGGTTGTCGTACCTGGTTATCATGCTTGCCGTGGCTGTTGTGACGTGGTGTTATGACAGGGTTAGTTGCCTACTATATCATATTATAATCGAGCTCTATTATCTCAAGTAAAAGTGCGAGATATCTCAGCACTAGGGGTACTTGGTATTGTTAGGAAAACATCTAGTATACACAGGTACCTTTTAGTCACATAGGTCGGACTTTGACTACAGTTGTCATTCGAGGGCAATCCCTACATACATATGTACCTACCTAGGTAGCCCTAGATGTATAGTTAACTATGGTAATGGTATATACCTACCTAGGTATGTATGATGGTGTCCTCTAAGGCTGCTCCTGCCATATAAATACTAGACGTACTCAAAAGGTACGCGCACCTTCCTTCTTTCAAGCTCTACCTTCTCTACCTTCTCTAACTACTGGGGGTATAAAAGCACCTCCCTCGTCGGTTTCTTCTTCCTTTCTTCTTCTTCCTTCTCCATCACTCTTCTTTACTTTGCCTTCTCCACTTCGGATTCCTGCACTTATCTGCATAGCCGAAGGCATTTCTTACTTTCACGTCAAAGGCATTTGACATCCGTGATCACCTCCCCCATATCTTCTTCTACGACTGTCACCTCGAGCTCACTGTAATCTTTGCTTTGTAAGTGATCGTCCTGCTAATATCTCTTCTTCCCCTACACCGAGCCCGAGCGAAGCAAAGAAACGAATGGTTTCTCCTTCGCTCGTGCAGTCTCACCACCTTGCTGTCAGAACAAACTCAGTTCATATTATCCATCTTACTTCCTGACTTCACATCCTTGATCAAGTACAGAAGTGAGCCCAAAAGAAAAAGAAGCCAAAAACACTTGACTAACAAAAAGCGATCAATAGGAGCATCAACCCATCATGGCCCCGAAAAAGGCCATGAACCCCTCAACAGAGGATGGAGACGAGCACAGGTCCCGTTCTGGCCATCGACCTGCATCCTCGTCCAAGCTTCAATCTACCCCCACATCTTCAAAGCCTCCTCACTCCTCTTCATCCTCCCGTCAACCTAAGCTCAGCCTTGATCTTCCCATGCGTCCTTCTGCCCCTCCACCAAAGCCTCTGGACCCGCGCCAGGCCCAAGAGCTGCGGGACCACAAGGCCAAATTGGAAGAAGACGCAAGACGCAAAAAGGAGGCAGAAAGCACTGCTTGGATGCGCCGCACTCGTTATGACCCTGAAACGGGCGAGCAGCGAAAGCCAAAGAGCACTGGTTCAAGTAGCAGTGACTCCCCCATTCGTCGAGTCGAAACTCCTCCAGAACTCCCGCCTAACTGGACCGCGGAGGAGAAGGCCAACTATGAGCGCCTCGCAAGGGAAGGTGTGAAAGTGGCTGTTTTTGAGCAACACCGACTTGACCAAGAGAAGGTTATCCGACACAAAGATTACATGACAGTTGCCTGGGATGGCTGCAAGAACATTGACATTCCCTGGCATCGATTCAAAGTTAGGCCTTCTTCTGTATGTTCCCGACCGATATTTTCTAATTGCTCTACTTGTGGATAATGAGTTTTGCTAATCCGTTTTTCTAGGGTGTCCAAGAGGAGACTCAAATTCAGCGTCGTGTTGGCTACAACACTTCCGGCAAAGAGGTCGAGGTTATGATGAATGCATACCCGATCACTTCTTTCCCAGAGAAGGCTGTTTACCAGTATGAGGTGAGTATTTTCCATTCCTGTGCAATACCATTGTTTGCTCATCAATTACCAGATCAATGTTCTGCACGGTGACCAAAATGAAACCGACAGGCGGGTCCTCAGAAAGTGCTGGAACAGTGAGACCCGAAAGGCACACATTCCCGATGGTATCTGGGACGGTGGAAGAATCTGCTGGTACGTGTAATATCCTTCTGATTGCTACTATGGATTTTCTAACCTGTGTTATTGCAGGTCGCTGCGAAACTTCGATGACTGGAATGAGGTTATCGACATTAAGGGCGACTTGACCCGAGACATCAAGACTCTTGCTACTGTCGACGAGTTCAGACGGAATCCTGCTTTCAGAATGTCCGTCATCCAGAAGCGAAAGATTAATCTGGCGGTGATCAACGCCTGGCTGCAGAACCGCCGTGATCTGGATGAACTCGTGATTGAATCTCTGAGTAAGTTCACTCTTCTTTTCGGTATTGCCCTTTTTTTTCAATTCATCAAGCTGATAACGACAGGCTTCCTTGATCATTTGCTCCGTGAATGGCCCACCAAACAATTTGCTGCAATCAAGCGGGCGTTCTTCTTTGACAAGCTCGGAGAGGACGAGGAGCTGAAGCAGGAGTTTTACCAGCCGCTCGCCAATATGGGTGCTTCCGTTTACCGAGGCATCTACCAAGCAATTAAGCCAACTCCTGTAAGACCATATCTGTTGATTCAAATTGAAGATTGGAAAACTGATGTTCAATTATAGCATGGTCTGATCCTCAATGTTGACGTCGCTCACTGTGTCTTCTTTTCTCGTATCAGTCTTATGGGCTATATGATGAATGTGAATGGGTGGAACGATAAGTCAACCCTGGTCAGGAATCTCCAGTCAACTCGCGACGAATATGGCGGTACGAAGGAATCGAGGTATTTCGCACAGGTGAACAAGAAGATCCAGGGTCTTCGAGTGGCACCCAACTACGAGGGTTGCCCTTTCAAGATGAAGAGTTTCATTGTCAAGGGCCTGATTCATGCAAAGCCCAAGGAATTCTTCATTGATTACTACGACAAGGCTACCGGGAAGTCCACTCGAATCCACCTCGAAGAGTACTTTATGAGACGGTACAACATCCGCCTCGAATATCCCAATATGCTCTTGGTCGAGATGCAAAAAGAAGATGTCCATTACCCAGCCGAGTTCCTGGTTATCAAAGGCCTTCAGAGATACCGCTACAAGCTTACCGACGTGCAGGCGGCACAGATGATTCAATGGTGTGCGACCAGGCCCCCGAAACGTCTGGCCAATGCTCGCCAGTCCAAGGATCTTCTCCAGCACAAGAATGATCCGATTCTGAAACTTTACGGTATGAAGATCAGTGACCAAATGATCAAGACCAAAGCCCGTCTCCTTCCGAGCCCCGAGATTCAGTTCGGGGGCAACCGCAAACATAACCCTCAGCATTCGGGAAGCTGGGATCTCCGCGGTAAGAAGTTTTACAAACCCAATGAAAAGGATCTTGTGGCTTGGGGCATCGGGTACTTTGCCGGGCACCGCAAGTCAATCAACGAGGACCAGGCTGCCAGCTGGGCTGATCAATTCGTGAAGATGTACAGAAGCATGGGCGGCGTGGTGACTGGCCGACCAGTTATCAAGGCAGTGAGCGAAGACATTGGTATGGCTGTCAAAAGGATTTACGATACAATCGCAGCGGTGCACAAGAGAGAGCCCCAGCTCATGGTATTCATCGTTCCTGACAAGGACTCTTTTGTCTATCTTCGCATCAAGAAGTCTTCTGACTGCCGATATGGCACTCCCTCTCAGGTGCTCCAAGCTGCACACTGTATCAACAATAGGCCTCAATATCACGCGAACGTTCTCATGAAGGTGAATGCAAAGCTTGGTGGAATCACAGCTCGGGCTGTCCCTAAGTCGAAGAGTTCAGGTCTTCGCCCTGGCTCCATGATTATTGGGGCAGATGTCACTCATCCAATGATGGGGGTGTGGACTCCGTCACTGGCGGCCATGTCGGTTTCCGCAAATTCCACTGCAACTCGCTACATGGGTGGATGCGAGACCAATGGAGATCGAATTGAGATCATCCGGGACAAAGTGGTTGAGTACATCCTACACCCCATGGTGGCTGAGTGGAAAGCAACTGTTGGGGGTGGTAAGGCTCCTGAGTATGTCTACTATTTCCGTGACGGCGTGTCTGCGTCCGAATACCAGAGAATCCTTTCAGAGGAAGTCCCTGCAATTCGCTTTGCCATTGCGCATGCGTGTGGTCAGCCAGTCTGGGGCGGCAAGATGTGTGTTGTGGTTGCCAACAAGCGCCACCATCTTCGAGCGTTCCCTGACCCGAAGAATCGCGCAGCCGCGGACAGCCACGGCGGCCCCCTGCCGGGCACTCTCATTGATCGGGACGTGACTAGCCCACATGACTGGGACTTCTTGCTCTACACACACATTGCTCTACAGGGAACTCCCCGCCCGGTCCATTACCATGTCCTGTTGGATGAGATGGGTCTTAAACCTAATGACCTTGAGGGCATGATCAATGATCATTGCTACCAGTACATCCGCTCGACAACCTCCGTCTCTGTCCACCCTGCAATCTACTATGCCCACTTGATTTCGGTTCGTGCTCGTCACCACGAGGATGTTCCTATTACCTCTGGCCCCCCAGAGTGGACCGGAGGTGAAAATGACGAACCCGAAGCCCAAGGAGCCTCGAGCCAAGAGATTGCTTCCCATTGAAGGCACCTCAAACAGGCTGGCTCTGGGTATGTGGTACGTCTAATTCAACTGTAACATTTATATGGTTGTGGACAAGTTTTACCTTGTTCACTCCATGACCGTGCCGGTTCCCTTCCAAGGCCTTTGTCTTATGACTCGGTTTCCTTATTTGCGAACTGCTTTGCGAACTGCTTTGCGATTGCTCCACGGTTTTCTTTTTCTTTTTCTCTTTATGTTATGCTCGAACGGGATTTCGATGGCATTGCTTTTGCGATGCTGCTCTTCAGACGGCTTGATCTAAGCAGTAGGGCTGCAGTGGCTGTTGTTCACAAAAACCAGTTGCATGCTCGAGGCTGGTCTTGAAATGCTGAATGAGCCATACTTCTTTCTGTTGTATCTTATGGACTTTGCCTTTTTTTATTATCGTTACGCTCGATCTCAACCTGGTTTTTATGGGTGGTTGTCTCTGACAACTTGACCGATTGAATACCGAAGGCTGATTGATCCTCAGTTCACGAATTAGTTTCATATTTCTTTCCCATGTTTTTAACCCAGAAAATACCAAAAAGAGCCCCTTTCATGGGATATTTTATTTTATTGTGCAGTTGATACACTTACGATAATTAGCGGTTGAATAGAAGTCTTGATGTAGTTTCTCCGATGTGGGATTCCCATATGATCCTTGGATGCCATCTGCGCTAAAGAAAAAAAGGAAGAAAATACATGTACCTACCAAGGTAGGTAAAATATAAAAGGTGACAGAGATTCGAGAAAGTGATTCAAGTGATATTAAGAAGGAACTACGCCTAATTAGGGAATATAGTCTGAACTTGACATAAATCTACGCACTAGTTCACTATTGATCTTTGTTTAGCTGATACCTAAGAGCAAGACACAAGCCACACAAGTATAGGTCTGAATTGGATGAATCTGAGTAGGTATTCTGTTGAGAAATGAAAAGTCCCATCAAGGGACGATATGATACAAAGAGACTAAAATGGGCATCCACTTTGTCTTTCCAAGGACAGAAAAGAAGGGAAAGCAAGAAAAACCGATAAAATACAAGGACTGGATAATGTATCGTTGCAAATTTGAGGGTCAAAAAATACAGTCCCTCAATAGCCCAATATTGGGTGCTGGCTCCTATTGCTGCTCGCTCTTCGCCAACTGTATCGTAGCAAGGGGACAGGAAGCTCTGTTTGGTTGTGTCGTGGGACATGAGTCGCACATACTGAATATCAGAATAAAATTGCAGACAGGTATGCAAAAGCAAAGAAAGTGACGCAAGAGAAGGAGAGTTGCTCAGGAAAGCATAGGACCATGTCCGTAGTCAACCATAGGCCTTCTTCACGCTCCATTGGTCATGGATTCACCAGCGCCATCAACGAGGCCGGTTTCTTCGGTCTTCATATCAGCATTTGTTGCCGGGTCACCAGTTGCTTGGTCGCCTTCGCCATCAGGGTTGAAGTTGGGCATTTCGAGGGCCACGCCACTGTTCTTCTTGGATTTCTTCTTACTTGGCTCTGCACCGCCAGTTTTGGATGCCATCGGCGGAGCGGCTCGTTTCTGCGGACTGGATGAAAGACCCGGCAGACTAGCCTGGGGGATTTTGCCAGAGGCTGGAAGGCGGGGTTTGATGGCCATGGGACGCTGCTTAGGGGGCAGCTCCAGGTCTTCCACAAGAGGTTCATCATTGTGTGCCTCAAGCTTGCCCTTGAAGAAGTCCTGTAGGAGTCCAATCTGGCGAGATAAGTTGTCCGTTGAAATGCGTGCATATGGGGGCGGCGGAGCGAAAAGAGTAACGGTCTGTGAAACACTCGTGTTTTGAGAATTGGCCGCATTGAACATCCGATTTTGAAGCAGATGCAAGGGCACACTGAGCGTGGAAAGGCCGAACTCCCGATCCAAGCCTAGTTCCTTGAAACCGAAGAAATCCTCATCAATATCCTCAGCAAAGTCACCACCGACAAACTGTTCACTTCCATCGGCAAAGGCGTTTGAGCCGTCTTCGCCGCCTTCAAGGGCAGGTCGAAGGAGTTCTGTCAGGAGTGACCTGAGTCGATCATGAGCAGTGGTGAGCTTGGTTCCCAGACGATCCACATCGTCCTTGATGTAGGACTCCAGTTCATCTATGTGGATCCCCACAGAAGACAAGGTGTGTAGGACAATTTCAGAACGAGTGTATGCAGGTTTCCACTCGGTGACTGAAGGGGAAGATTCGTGTGACTCGGTGGCAGGAACCTTTGGTGTTTCCATATAAGACTTGAAGGTGGCCCCCAGTTTCTGGAAAAAGTCGGCGGCAATATCTGTAACCGCCTCAAGAGCAGATGGCTGGTATTCCTCAAAGCCAGTGTGATAGAAAATCTTAGCCACTGAGCGCTGCAATGCTGCCCTACAGGCCCAGGGGGCAATGACAGGGCCGTTGTCATTCATGACATGTGGTTCGATGTCTTGCTCGAGAAATGGCTCGGGTTGATATTTTTGGAATTGATTTTGGTACATCTAGAGGAAAGTCAGCTGAGAGCTCGGATAATAACAGAGTAATCAACTCGCTTACCTGTGATTGAAGCTGCATCTGCTTGACGATGCCAATCTTTGAGCAGATCTTGCGAGTTTCTTGCATCTGCCGCATGTTCGAGTTCATCTTGCGGGTCAATTTGCTATCTGGTTGGATAAAATGGCCTTTGGGAAGCATCCGAAGGTACTCTTCAGAGGCATCGACAACATTGCCTTGCGCGTCTTCCTTCCAGAGTAGCCGCTCAGGAAGATCAGGAACACCAGACATGACATCATAATAATAAGGCAGCATCTGGTCTTCTTCCACCTCAATACCTTCTGCAAGGCTTTCGCCTGCGGCCTCGGGTTCCATGGCTTGAGATTCCCCGTCGCGAGATTTGTCAGCTTCGATAGTAGCTTGTTTCTGGTGTCGAAGCCATCGGCGCATGCCAGCTTTACTTCTGAGTAAAGCGGGTTCCTCAGAGTTGAGCTTGTCCCCCAGAGAAGACGATGTCGCTCCGCCGCAACGCGCGCTCTATCTTTCTTGGTAACTTGCTTCCACACTTTGTACTCTGGGTCTTCCGGTTCTACGCCGCCCGAAACTGACATGGCACTAAGCGCAGTTGTCGACGTACTCGGACCGTCGATATCCATATCATCCTGGCTCGCTGTAGCTATCGCTGCTGAACCAGCAGGGTCAGATGGCGTGTTAGATCCAGGAGGTGGTGTGGAAAATCCATTTTGACTAGCTTCACCGGCAGCGTCCGAATCTGCGCGAGCCGGCGCAGTTGGCTGAGTGCTGGAGGCCCTGGCAGGGCTGGGAGTATTACGGGAAGGGGCTGTTCCTTTTTTGGAAGTCTTCTTGCCAGGAGCCTTTCTACCCCGCGATGACATGATGGGCTCATCGTCACTTTCCTCGGCACCGTCGTTATCGGCAAGCTGGAGTCGACGTTCTTCGGCTTCAACTTCGGCACGGTCCCTGATGACAATATCTGGAATGAGAGGGACAAGCTTCTCAGTCTCCTTGCGCATGTAAAGTGCGTGCTTCCGCAGAGGATGTTCGGTGTTGGTATTGTATTTCAAGCAATTCGCCCAAATGAGGGTGAGGTCATCGACGAAGTCTTGTTTGGATCTATACTGCAGGCCTTTCAGCTTTTTGGTCATTGATCCAAGATCCATCGGGTGCTTGATGACTAGTGGAAGGTTAGTAGATGAAACAGATCATTGCGATGCGTCGAAAGGGTCGCTTACTCGTATGATAGTCCGGGGCATCGCGTTTGTTGACGCGAGTCAAAAAAGCAGTTGAATGTTCTGTCATAGCTTTGAGCTCACTAAGAACCTTTTCCGCAGCTTCATAGAGCTCTTCCTGGCCGACCTTGTCTTCATTCGCCCATTTACTGCGGTTCTTACGAACCTCGCTCAGCAAGCTCCGCAGCTCAGCATCCGATGCCTGAACCCGGTCTCGCTTTTTGTCAATGCGTGCGATAAGGTTTTTCAGAGTCAAACTGGAAGCGCCCAGGTTGGTATTACTCAAGGAACTGTAGCCATTGGAAGCGCCTGGGGCATTGTTGCCGCCCATGTTAGCCTGGCCGGATATCTCTGCCTCAACTTGTCTTTCCGACTCTTCCAAGCGCTGTTGATCGAGCATGGCATCCCGGTCATTCTCAAGGGTGTAGAACAAAGTGTGGAAGCTTCTTCTGGCAGCCTCCTCCGTTGCTTTCTTGTCTTCCTCGAGTTGCTTCCGGAGATCCTCCATTGTTTCCTTCTTTGGCTCCTTACCTCCATCCGCAGCGGTGGATACCGAGGTGCCGGGACGGGGTGCTAATGGCGCAGCACCACTAGGCTCGTGTGATACAGCAGCGGACTTGGTTTTCAGAGGGGATTCAGCAACATCGTCCATTTCCTCGTCTTCGTCATCGTCGTCGTAGTCATCGTAATCATCGTCATCGAGCTTTCGGGCCGACTTGCGTGGGGCGGTGAAAGGGGGAGGCACATCATCGACGCGTTCGGGTTGAGCTTCGGACGACTCAGTAGTTTCCTCAGCCGCAGGGATATCCTCCGAATATTGTCCAGAGAACAGAGCACTTATTTTCGCCTCACTGCGGCGATACAATTCACGGAATTGAGCAATGCGCGGGTCTTCTTCGGGCGCGATATCGGTTTCGGATGTCGAGCTGGGGTTCGGCGCTTCGGCGCCAACAGAGCCGCGTATTTGCGGCGTCCGGGAGCCAGATAAAGTCTTCACTAAGCCATTGACTGGGCGGGGAGAGTCCTGAAGATCATCTGGGGGCCGAATATTGCCCGGAGGCCAGGCGTTGTGGCCGAGCGACATGCTCGCTCCAAAACCCCGGTTCTGGGGCGGGCGAGACTCGATTCTCCGCGATTAGGATTACGGGCCGATCGGACGCGACACAGGGGCCGGAGAAGGGACAAAATGCATAGAGATAGAAAAGACCCCGGGTAAAATTGACTGAAGATGTCAAACCAGCGAAAAATGATAGCGTGGCGGAGAGGTTTGATGAAGAAGGTCCGGGGGAGCTTCATAGGAAGTTTCTCTGGACGGGGATGAAGTACAGGGCATGAAGGCGGAGTTAACCGGCAGATCTTGTCTCATTGTCACTATTTCGACTGGCGATCAATGGCTATTGTTCACATCTTGACTTATTCCAATCTATTATTCTCCGTGGTCTTCTGTTGGGTTTACTGTGGATTCATTTGATTCTGTAGCTTTTTACCTCTTCCTTGTTGTTGTGAACATCCCCATTGCTCCGCATATGACGCACCAGGCATCAGCTGGGGCCGAACTCCTCCACATTTGACAGCTCTCCCAAAACGCAGACAGAAACAATCACCTTCACAAAACAAAAGAATTCCAAAGATTCTTGTCACTTTTCCCTCACCAACTTGATTCTCGACCATGCGCATTCGCTACCCTTTCGCAGGTAAGCTTTGCTGACTTACCATTCTGGTTCCGGCGATCTCCCAACTAACCGCCCTTAGGTGCCTTCATCTTCCTGCTCTTCTTAGCCGGTTACATCGGTCTTCTCCCACACAGCACCTCTTCAACGATACCAACCCAGCTTCAGCCCAATGACAAGTTCCTCCACCTCGTCACCTTTTTCCTAGTCACAGTTGTATTTTACTGGGTCTTGGACACTACCCGTCGGCGCACGCTACACGTGACCCTCGTGGTCTGCACATTAGGGCTTGGTATTGGTTCTGAAGTTGTGCAGGGTTTTATTCCAAATGGACGAGACTTTGATCTATTCGATATCGTCGCCAATGTTGTCGGTAGTCTAGGCGCCATCGGACTTTGTAACTGGTACCACCGGCGCATGATGGAGCGCCGCCGACGAAGTCGGTATGGCATGACGGAAGAGGGCGCTGAGGATGTTGAGCTTGGTGGCGTTGTCGGAAATTCCCGTCGCGGCTCAGAAGCAATGGGCCCACAGGAATCCGGTGTCATGAGTCTTGAGCAGGAAGTCGACAACTGGGACGAGAATGCAGTTGACACTTGGGATACGGAAGAAGCGCCGAGTCCTGAGCGAGAGGCAGCTCCTCCCAGTTATGAGGCTGGCTCAGTCGGTGGTCAATCGGCTGCAATCCCTGCCGTAGCCAAACGTACTGATTAAGGCTACTCTTCACTGGAGCGAGGCGTGTTCTTTGTACCTCGGAAAGGCGCATCTATGCCTGCATTCAGATCTTGTTTTGCTATATTGTGTTTTTATGATGATGGATTTCATGTCTTGGTCTCACGTCGGTATGATACCAATCTCGATTTTATGCTCAGCAGTGCTGCTTTTGTTTTATTTGATTTGTTTACATTGTTCTATTATGGCTTGACTGGGATGGATGATCTTCCACGGGTAAGCCCATGGTCACCCTCAGGTGATAGGCGAAGAGTGCAAAGGATTCCTCATAATTTCGAAAGGATTGTACAGTGGTGCGGATTTACTGGGAATATGTAGGTGCTACATAGCCATAAAAATGCTAATAATGGAATCTGATCCCCAAAAAAAGCCTATGATAGAGAGACAGTCACTAGGTGAAGGTAGAACGTCTCAGGGCAGTCGGCAAAGCATACAATATCACCAATTGGCTAATATACAGTGACTCTAGGGCGAGACTGACAATGGTAGTCAATAAGCAATATAACTACATCCAAGATGATAACCAAAGTAACAAAAGCGGGGGTATTTCAACAGCAAAGGAAAAAATATGTAGCAGGGGGTTGGAAGGCATAATTCAGAAATGATCGCAAGTTAAAAATCAGATAAACACCGGATGCCATGAAGGGATGCAACATAAACATAAGCCTCTCGTCCAAAGTTCATGATCACAGGGGTGGACGAAAAGGCCAGGATTGAGCGGGCGTCATTCATTAACAGGATCAGGAAGCTCCGGTGTGCCGGACCGACTTCTCGTCGGCGTATGAGAGCGATCTGGGACAGCTTCCAACTCCGGCTTGGAAGTTGGCAAGTAATCCGCCTGGTCATTCAACTTGGCGATTTTCGCAGACCGTTCCTCGCTGCCGTTAGGGGAGTCCATGTTCCAGTCCGTAATCTTGCCCAGCTTTCGATCGGTTTGTTCTCGGAGCACTTCGTAGATAAATTGCATTTGCATCTCGTTGTAGACCATCATCATCCGCTGCTCGCGCATTTGATTGACGGTTTTGAAAACAGGGTCGGCCTCTGGTTCCATATTCAACAGATGTCCTGACTCTAGCTCGCATAGCAAATGGTCAAGCGCGATGAAAGTTCCTGTCCGACCAACTCCTGCGCTGCAGTGCACGATTCGTGGATTGTCCGGGCTGGACTTGGACGCTGACAACTTAATCAACTCGAGAAGGGCTTGGCGATCGCTGCCTTCGGGTTTGGAGTAATCGGCCCAGCCAGCGAAGAGGAAATGCCAGACAATCTTTGACTCCGAGCCGATGGCCAGTTCGAGTTTGCGGATTTCAGATCGTGATCTAGCGTCGAAAGTTGATTCTAGCAACGTAACTCTTCCCAAGACACCGGGCTCTGTTTGTCCACTCTCATCGAAGAGAACGTCCGATTCATCCGCCAATAGTACCATTGAAGCCTGTTCCGTATCCAATGGGAAGTATTGTGCGCACTTTTCCCGGCCCGCTTCAAAAGTTTGGGTAAGCATCACGATAACGCCGACCTCCTTGCTTTCGTGGAAGACCATGTGCCAGAAATCCGGGAGATGTCCAAGTTTGGGGCCCTGATTAATGGGTAAGCAAAAGGCGTATATGATTTATACCGAATGCGCAACCTACCTGGGTCGCTATGTATTTCCTTCCTTCTCGTGTCACCGAGTCTTCCAGAGTGATCGGAGATGCGTTGATAAAATCACATTCGCCCTCGGCAACCCGCAGATGGATGCGACAATTTGCCCAGGCCTGGACGTTAATATACCGATTCCTCTCTCTAACTTTTGGGTCTACCTCCAGGGCCCAGGGATGCAAGAGATCATTGGCCAGCATACCCTCGGCCAGACGTGTGCGCTGCATCCATTCCAGTTCCTCAAACTTGTCATGGATCTCTGCATAAGGAAGCGGTCAGTCACATTCCACGTGCAGGTTGTATTTCTCCGATAGGCGTTTATGCACCCCTCACTCACCCGAGACAGATTGACACAGGAACGGTGGAACATCTTCGGTATTTCCAGCTTCCAGCTTGGGGTTGTCCTGATCCGCGAGCATATCGAGGCCCGCGTCGTCATTCTCGGGCAGTCCGCGCTTGGTCGCTGGGACACTGGTGTCGATCTTGATAGTCGGATGCGCCATCTTGGCGGCAGCGATCCGCTGGAATGCTCGGACTTTACCGATGACACCACGCGCTTTCCTCGAGACTGATTTGGTTTTGGAACGTTTTTTGTGCGGGGCAGACGTGAAGGAAGGAGGGGGCGAAGGAGATGGATCGGTTCTCACGTCGCTGTCAAAATCTGCAGACACTGATGTTATCTGCAGTGATGACAGATCGGGACAGCTATAGAAGCTGTCCCGGGAAGACGTGTCCAGGGCCAGATTTTTTGAGGATCGCGGGGGTTGGGCGTCGAGGAAGTGGAGGAGAGCGTCGCAATAAAAGCCCTCGTATAGGGAAGCCGTATACTCCCGAGTCCACCTGATTAATTTCCGGATTAGAAAGTAATTTTTTAAAAGGAGAAGAAGAAGTTTAGAAGAAAGAAAAGAAGAGAATAGAAGTAAAGAAAAAAAAAAAAAAAAAACAAGAAACTGGAGACGGGGCCAAAAGGAGAGAAAGTGGAGGCAAAGAAGAGAGGAAAAGCGCCGAGGTCGAGTATTTTATAGTAGTAGATAGTATATATTATATGTTATATAGTATATAGTATAGTATTTAATACTACCTAGAACTAATCTATGGAGCCCAGGAGACTATTTATGTTTTCATGGTCCTTTCTCGAATTCAGCTGCTTGCGGCATCCCACATTGATACATTTCATATGTACGGAGTACTAGTAGATCTATTAATATTCTATTGTATTAGTTCAAACTGAATTCTGATAGAAACGGGGACCTTTCTAGGATCTATTTTATTACTATCTATTTACCCCTTTATCACCTTGTATGACTCTATTACTTTTGTATACTCTCCAGGGCTGTTTACTTTGACTTCGTTTTTGCGCGGGAACGCCTTCGGAGTTCATCCTCATCCTCTTCCTCTTTGTCTTCCTCTTCTCTTCTTCTCTTTCTTCCGCTATTCCCTCTATCTTCTCTCTTTATATCTTCCTCTTTTTACAATAATCTCCAATTTCCGCCTCGGCCTCGGATGACGCCCTCTTATGCTGACAGGTGTTGAGCACCCCCCGGTTCGCATATGTCAACAAATCCTCAGAAATGGTCTCCCAAGCTCAAATCGTTGATCGCACAAACGCCCAAAGCACCGCTTCCCTAGTATCGCGTCCCTTAAGCAGACGACATCGTTCCGGTCGCTCGCACCATGGCGGCTCGTCGCATCCCTCCCCGAACGATTTCCCTATCTTCACGTACACGGGTGACACCGAGGTCGTGATCCACGCCGGATCGCAGGAAAGGCGTTATCTCCTCCACAAATTGATATTATCGCAATGCTCGGGCTTCTTTGAGGCGAGCACCAATGAGGACTGGCCGCGCCAAATGGCTTTATGTCCGTCTAAGCCGGAGGGGACGCTCTCGCGACTGAGCGAGGATGATGATTTCTCGAATGGGTCAACACTGGCACCATCTGATAACGGTGGACACTCGGCGCGACCAGGAGAAAAGAGACGCTGGCGGTATGAACTTGATTGGGAGAATCGCGCGGAGGATGAAGAGCCGATTCTTGTGCAAAAGGTACGCCTTGCGCTGGCGCGTCGCATAATCTCATCTTTGCGAACAATGCTAATGTCGCGTGTTGAAATAGCAACCAACCTATGACCCTATCTTCAGTGCCGACCAAGCCGCATTCCCTCCAACGATGACCAAACCGTCCAATGCCCAGGCAGGCTTCTTTCGATCTATGGCGAACCTGGCAGGGATGCAGTCGGTAGCGCATCTACCGCAGACAGGGGAACACGCTGTCGCGGTCGATCCCTTAATACGTGACTATGACAATCTACTACGAATATTTTACAATCATGCCCCAATCATCAACAGTGTCAACATCGCCTCGGCATATACCGAGTGCAAATCCCTCCTTGCATTGGCGGATATGTACGACGCGATTCCAGTGACAGGGCCCCGCGTGGACCACCACCTACTCGGTTTCGGATCTCGTTTATTCAAACAGATCGCTAAATACCCGCCCAGCTACCTGAAGCTGGGATATCTCGCCCGCAGCCGGGTGATCTTTTCCGAAGCCTTGATCCATGTCGTCGGCCAGTGGCCCGCCGCCCTACCAAGTCTGCGAAACGGCTCCTACGCGCCTCTACCAGACTCACTCCTAGATCTAATCGAAGACAAAGTAGAAGATCTCGACGAACTCAAAGCTCGCGTTGAATCCAAGCTCCTGCGCCTATCCCTAACCACCTCGCGCGGCGAACGTGTCGGCCCCTCAAATGCATACCTGGACTGGCTCGCCGTATGTCTATTCCGCCAATGGCTGATAGAAAGCACTACCCCACCACCAGCTCCCATTCTCAAGAACTCGGGCCCGAGCGATGGTCCCGTCCCGCCTACCGCATCAGCGTCACACCCAACAAGCCCGTCAACTACCTCCCCAGACCCGTCTGCGCGCATATTTAGATTGATCGGTTCCTCGTCCGCGCAGGCATACCTGCCCCATGACGAGCTAAAGCGCTTCCTCAAGCTCCATCCTACGTCTTCGGCTGGCTCGCTTTACACGCGCGAGACTCTGAAACGCTTCGAGCGCAAGATGGATGAGATGAAACGGCTAGCACGGGATATTGTCAAGCCGCTGATGCGTAATTTCCTCGAGTTGGAGCTGAAAAGTCCGGACCAAGCAACTACTGGCACCGTTGGTCCTCGTGAGAATACTCCGTCGGGATTGCCATATCTAACTTGCACCCGCGTTGAAGATATAGATCTACCTTGGAAATGAGGTTGACGACTTCTTGGGATCTGTCTATTTGGCTTACACTGTGCCCTAATCATCATCTTTTTGGATATCCCTACCTACTTGGTGTTCTTGGCGGCGTTTGGTTATTTCTTTTACACTTCTTATCTGCGCGTTTCTTTCTCAGGCTGCTGGTCTTGTCTGACGAAAGATATCAGATTGTACTCCTGTCTCTGTGATTTCCAATGATGTGATGTTTACTTGATTTATGTTGTTTTTTGTTTCTGATTCATGTGTTCACGAAGTCATGAATGGCTCTGCCCTGATTTGTTCTGTTCTGTTCTATTCTGTTTTTATTTAATACTCTGCTCTATCCCCAATAAGGAGGGTCTGGGGTTCTATTTTTGTCTGCTATGTTTTTAGAGATACCAAAAGATCGCAGGCAATGCAATGCAAGATTCATGACGATAACCACCTATCCTTCTTATATTACAGGTAACGCAGATGAAACAGACTCGCAATATATGAAGTGTATATCCACGAATTTCCTAAAAAGTACATAATATACAGCATCACCACGAGGAGAGCAAGAACAATCCCTCAGCCCTTCCCGTCTAGCTCCGACCAATACTCTCCATCCCATCCATCCAAGGCCTCAGAACCTCAGGAATAACAACAACACCCCGCTCAGCATCCCACCCATTCTCCAAGATGGCAGCCAGCACACGCGGAACAGCCATAGCAGTCCCATTAACCGTATGCGGGAACCGTGACTCCTTAGCGCCACCGCCACGCACCCGAGCCGCCAACCGCCGACTCTGGTAATCCGTACAGATAGAAGCAGAAGTCACCTCCCCCCAAGCGGACTCCAGATGATGAATCTCAGGATCAACAGGCACAGCCGTACCCGACGGCGCGCGCAGCCGAGACGGGAAGAGCGCCTCGATATCCCTCTTGCGCGTCGCGCTAGCACCGAGATCCCCACTCGGCATCTCCAGCACACGACAGGGCAGATGCAGCGCCGTCAGGATCTCAATTTGCATATCCAACAACTCGGCGAACAGATCGTCCGAGGTCGGGCCGACGCCCTCCACGCTATCCGTCCAGCCGAACAGCTCGACCTTGGTGAACTCGTGCACGCGGTACAGACCCTTCGTGTCGACGCCGCGGGAGCCCGCCTCGGCGCGGTAGCAGCGGCTCGCGCCGACCAGCTTGATCGGTAGCGAGGAGGCGTTGATGTCGCGGCCGGCGTACATGGCGGCTAGGGGGGATCTCGGCGGTGCCGGTTAGCGAGCGTTGGGGTTTGGTGTTTTTGTCGCGGTCGTTCTGCTCGATGGTCCAGATCTGCTGCTCGTTGTGCTGGTCGCGTGGCTGGAATCCGCATGCTTCGGCGATGTAGGAGTAGACGATTGAGGGCGGGGCGACGGTTTTCCAGCCTCGGCGTCGTGCTATGCTCAGGGAGTACTGGATCAGTGCTTGTTCTAGCATTGCGCCTTCGTTTATCAGGAAGTACCAGCCCCATCCTGTTGTTGTGGCTGAGCTGGCGAAGTCGAGGAGGTTGAGCTCGGTGCCGATTGTGACGTGCGACCGGGCTTGGAGCTCGGGTTGGGATTGGCGGGTCCAGGTCGGGGGTTCTTCGGGGTTGAAGTTGATATATTGTACAAGAGTTGGGTCGTGTCCGATGGGGGTGAATGGGGAGGAGAGGTTTGGGAGGGAGAGGGCTAGTCGGTTGATCTCTTCGGTGCAGCTTGCTTTCCGTTCTGTCATGGACTGCGAGTCGTCCTTTAAGCGCTGAGCTTCTGACTTGAGTTCGGCCAGTTCCTCGCTTGGGCTCAGGCCCTTGTCGTTGGTGTTTTCATTTGTATCTTGCCGTGTCGCAAAGTGTAGCTTGGCGATGGTCTTTTCGAGTTGCTTGATGCGGGACCGAGGCGTTTTCAGGTCGTGATCGAGCTGTCTGGCCTCCTCTGATAATTGTTGAATTTTCGACGGATATCCGGCGTGACCTGCATAGTTGCGATCTACACAGTTCTGTGCGTAGAGGTCGGCATTCTGGCGGATGTGTTTGACGTCCGGCGTGGGCTTCGGAGCTGTCGCGGGTCGCAAGACGTCGCGATTGCGTCGGGCGAAGAGGAAATTGCGCAGAGATGCTTTCAATCCATACGAATTCCTGCAATTAAAGCAGATATATGAAGTGAGCGCCATTGGAGTTGGGGAGGAAGAAGAGAAGAGAACGGGCAATGTGGTGGATCTCCCGCCTTAACCCTTTTCGGAGGATCTGCAGGTTGCTCCAACATGCAACAACAGGGCTTTTAGGGACTAGTATCACGGTTTTTTTTTTGCGCAGAAAATAGTAATGGAAGCAGAGATATAGCAAGATTGGATATAAAAAGTACGTGACATAGGTCGTGAGAGCTAATTCTTATCGTTTTAGCTATACCAATAAAGGACAAAAATATACATACGTTAGAAGCAATTATATCCAAGGAAATACATATGTAGCTAAGAGTACTATAAAGACTACTAAAGAGACTACCCAAACAAAGATACTAAGGCCATACCAGCGGCTATTTACATAGGTACCTTGCTGTATACTACCAATGTAGATATGAGTCGAGTGCGAAGGGTGTGTAAGGGTGTTTTTGATCTACAATAGTATAACAGAAGATGGCGATGCTAATATCTTTCGGAATACACCTTCTCCCCTCTCTTGTCACATTCAAGTGAAGTATATAGCATTAACTTGGTAGAATTGATCTCAGTTTTGAATAATTATGGAGATAGCTTACAGAGCAGATGTTTCATATATGAGGCTGTCAGCCTGTCTTGAGCGGCTCACTTGCGCCAGTGAGTTAGGTAACTCTGGTATATTGCTCCAATGCACAGGCTGGCGAGACTCCATTTGCATTGGATTCCATATATTCGGTTTGCCAATGATGTGCAGTATCTTAGATCCTCTCGCAACTCTCATCTCACAGTCCCAATTTATGCTTCTTAATCCTCGCACCCACACCAGCGAGAATCAAAACGGCAGCGACAAGTACACCCCATAGAGGAATATGAATCGCGATCACGTTGTAGGTGGTCTGCGTCGCCGCCACGACAGTCGCCATCTCCAGCAGTAGCAAAACATAGCCGCTCCAGCGATGATATTTGTAAATGCGCTTCCCGGCGTCGATACTACCGAGGACGGTGACCGGCACAAAGTACTGGATAATACCGACCACCGCTTGCAGAATGATAGCGATGTAAGTAGTAAGACCAAGAATGCCGTGAGGAGAGACAAAGTGAGGATGAGAGCCCTTGTTAACCTCGATAATAACAAAGGCAGATACAAAAAGGACCACGCTGAGTAGTTGAAGGGAGTAGTGGATGCGTGTACCGGTACTTTTCTGTTGAGGGGTGGCGGTTGGTTGCAAAATGAGAGCGGCCTGGACTTGAAGAAGGAGTGCAGATATGCCGAGTAGCTGAATATGCAGTTAGTGCTGGGATATCTTGAGATGTTTCGTTCAGCTGCTTAGCTACTTACCGGATGCGGGGTGAACAACGAGAGGGGCTGGGATAAGATGCCCTGCCAGACCAACGCTGCTAGCTGTGTGGTTTGTTAGTTGTCTGAAACTTCGGAATAGTTTTATGATGTGCTCACAATCCAAATTCCTGCTTGTGCTACACTTGCTGTTCCTGAGTCTGGAGTCAGTCGTGGGGTTCGATCAGAGGCTTTCAGGCTCACCTGTGAAGAGGTTTCGATAAATGATCTCGTTGGGCTTTTGCGTGACATCGCCTGGACGGCCCAATAGAGGCTCATCTTCACGCGCTTCAATAGTCGCTGGGTGATCTTGTGGAATTCCTGTTGCGGAGGCCATTATGGGGAGACTTGAGTGATGCTCATAAGGACAAGTCAGGGAAAAGGTTAGGCAAAGAGAGCGAGGGCGGTAGCCAATAACCCTTGCGTCTCTTTGCTTTTTCGATATATTAATCTGTACGAATCACAAAGTCCTGATTACTTTGAGATTATTCGCGATCGTCGATCTCAATGACGTTCGGGCGACATCCGCATATTCCCGGGAGCTGAAAACCTTGGAATGTGGGATTCTATCGAGCTGAACTGGCGAAAAAGAAAAGAAAATATTTGGATCTGGGCCTTGATTTGTTAACTCGTCGCTCTAAATAAATATTGAGTCTCACAAATACGTGGCCTTCTTACTATTCTGATACTACAGTTTGTATACACCGGGAAATCCCAACTGAATCACTTTATTGATCTATACATCTAAACTCCTATACACCTAAACATCACAATCAACGCCTAGGTTCAGGCGACGGGGCACCACTGCGGTCGCCTCGATCCGGCTGAATCCTGTACTGGATATCGGCAGGAACACAAAAGTCCAAAAAGATCATCATACTCTCGATATCGTCGGCGACTCTGGAGGTGCTGCTTCGGTCCTTGACCAGAGTATCTCTGAAATATTGCACCCGTTCATAGAGCTTGTTGCACTTAGATGTCCAATTAGGGTTGTCGTGGTTATAACGAGCCTGTCCGGACATTCTTAGGCCATCGACTCGCAGAAGAAGAAGACCCAGAGACCTGATGACCATCTTCCGGCTACCCTTGTGGTTGTCCTTGAGAATGTCAATCTGGGCATGCAGTGTGGTCATGAAGTGGCGACGCTCCTCTTCGTACGTACCGTGGAAAGCTCGTCCAGACATGGTTTCGGTGGGAACTAAGTGGTATTGAGTAGAGTGAATTATGAGGCTTACCTGGGCCTTCAATAGTGAGGTTTTCAGCTAGTGGCTTTTGAACTGAATACTTGAAGATGGAGTAGCTGATGGATGAGGATGCATGTAAAGATGGTGCATCCAGCCTACTTTATATCTTTGCAAATATCTGGTCGAGGACTCGGTCAAAGAGGAACAAAGCAACAATGACTATTATCAGATTCTTTATATCCTAAACATAGCACAAATATATATGATTGATATTTAATAAATCAATTCCAGCACAAAGGCGTATCATCTCCTTTGTGGTGCCAGACACAGATCCATGTCTATATTCAGCCGTCTTTCATGACATTCACCAGGGCATTGTCAACACAGGCCCTTCCTCTCCAGACCCAACCCGGCCAAAGACCACCTCCGCTCCTAGACCCTTTCGGGTCCAGGTTCATAACAATGTTGAACAAAGAACTACTCCTATTCGAGATATGGCGCGACGGATCCTCCTCGCAACATATTGACTGGGGATGATTATACGTGTCAGAGAAGATACGTTCTCGCAGCAAGCCAGGGGTAATAGCATCACCCTGCACACCGTCCTGAATTAGCCCTTGCGTCAACTCCTCCAGCCGCTTGAGCCGAATAGGTGACCCAGACAGCCACGGCGGCTCATTCACATAGCGATTCTCAAGGAAGTGATTCGTATGACCGATAATCCCTGATGCATCCTCAGGAATATGCTTGTCTCCGACGGGCGATAGTTCAAGCCCCAGGGCTTTGGTACTGTCTGCACAAAGGATATGCCCAGCAGAGGCGACACCACCCAGAGACTCGAGGGTCTTCACGGCATCGTCGACGGAAGTACTCTCCAGGCACAACCGAAGCGCAACGTGGATCGGGACCTTGCTGCTTATCATCGGTTTGGCGCGGATAGCATTGAGACAAGTTCCAACGCCGTTGCTATTGAACCCAATCTTGCCGACGATTCCTGCCTGTAAATAGTTAATTACATATCAGAATATAGACGCACACTGGAGTATATACTATGTGCTGACCTCGGTAACCATATAGATGGTAGGTTTTCCGACCTGCTCAATTGATACCATGGCTAGGTTCTTCTTGACAGTCGTCTTCCAGTCCCAATTCTGTGAGAGCACTCGCGCCGCCTCGCTTTTCTTCCAGCATAGTGACGTGCAGCCATCGGAGAATAGTCCTAGAGCTATCTCGCTTCGGCAGTTGAGCGCTATTATGTCAAGCACATCTAACCCGGCGCCCTCAGCGATAGCCTCCATCTCCGTGAACAAATGAGGCGTTAGGCCCCGGAGCGTGGGCTGAAATTCAGCTGCGACTTCGCGCACATCTTTCCAGGCTAGATTTGAGGTGTGCTGGAACATGGTGTCGTAGATGGATATCTGGCTGTGAATTTGTTCTCGCAATGCGCGGCCATGTTGTAGTCCGATCTAATTGTATTTGAGTCAGTGAGTTCTTGTCATATGCAGATGTTAATATTGGAGAATGTACTTCTCGGGGAGTTCCCTGGAGTTTCAGCTTGATTGGCTCGTTTTCAGACATGCTGATTCTGTATAATGTCAGTACAAATACATCAAAGTCCAGGCTACCTTCAGTTATTTAACTCGAGTGAACATCCGGGCTGAACGTCCCCTCAGTTGGAGGTTGGAGTCATTCGGGGTCGAGTTGATAAGCATCGCAAAGACTTGCCCTAACCGGCTAGACAGGTATATTGTGAGACTCCAACGAATAGAAGCTTTTTGCGCCGATGTTACCGAACTCGGGAGGATAGTGCTGACACAATAGTCAAATGAAATCCGACGGCTGTCTCACTTGGAGTATCCAGACCAGTACTTACGTCGGCAATAGTTATAGGCGGCCCGGGGTGTTGTTAGTTCAATCCAACAATATATCCATGGACAACACTCGTAAATTTCATTTATATAGCCTATGTATCTTCTCATGTAAATCACCTACGCATCTCTAATCAGATGCTTGAACAACTTATCCAGGTAATAGGCAGACTGCTTGGGATACCGGGTCTTCTCTGCGGACTCAAAGTCGATAAATGTGCAACCGAAGCGATCCGCATACCCAGCGGCCCATTCTATAAAAGATTAGTTATATGCCAACCATTTATACGAATGAAACCACTTACCCCAATTATCAGTGAATGTCCAAGCAAAGTAAGACCGGATATCAACTCCGTCTTCCTTGACAGCCCGCGCCAACGCATTGCCGACATAGCCCTCAAAAAACTTGATGCGGAACTCGTCATTGAGAACCTCAGGCGTGGGGGAAGTTTCACCCTTGGCGGTGGTACCATTTTCAGTGACATAAATTGGCATCTGGTATCGTTTATAGATCCAGTTCAACAACTTCCTGAATCCCCCGGGCGCCGCCCGCAGCCACGGGGTATCACTTTCCTCTCCACGAGACACACCTTGTTTATTCTCATCAAAGATCTCCACATTACCCTTGTGGTCATTGATATCAGGCGGAGATGTCCTATGCTTCACAAAGAAAGTCGTGTAGCTATTCATGCCATAGAAATCCGAGCTCCCAAATACAAGCTTCGATTCCTCCTCCGTGAACCTCGGCAACCGGTCACCGAGCTGCGCCCGCATCGACGCAGGATAATCACCCGTCTTGTACAACGGATCCGCAAACCAAGCAATCTCAAACTCGCGCGCACGCTCTGCAGCCTCCTGGTCGCGCGGGTCCTCTTCATCCCACGCCTCGGACCAGTTTCCATGCAGTGTGATGCCAATAGTACCCTTCTGCTGGGGCTGGAACTCCTCACGGTATAAGCGCACGGCATGACCGTGTGAGACGAGCTCGGTGTGCGCGACGGTAAACGGCTCGGTAGAGGAATCTCCCTCGGCATTGCGGTCACGGAAGGACGATCTTCCTGGCGCGTGCACACCCGCTGCATACCCGGCGAGGGTATAGACGCCAGGCTCGTTGTACGTGATCCAGTGCTTGACGCGGTCGCCGAAACGCTCGAAGCAGACGCGGGCGTAGCGCACGAAGTCCGGCGTGTAGGCGTCCTGGTCCAACATGCCACCGTACCGATCTTCCAGGGCCTGGGGGATATCCCAGTGGAAGAGGGTAATGAAAGGGGTTATTCCATTGCGGAGGAGTTCGTCGATGAGATCGGAGTAGAATTTGATGCCTTGCTCGTTGACGGGGTCGTCGCGGCCTCCAAGGGGGATGATACGGGACCAGGAGAGGGAGAAGCGGTAGGCGTTTACGCCGTAGGTCTTCATGAGCGCCACATCCTCCCGGTAGAAGTCGTAAGCTCGGACGGCGTCGTCGGCTGTGCTTCCATCGGCGATTTTGCCCGGCGTGTGGCCGAATGTATCCCAGATGGATACGCCCTTGCCGTCTTTGTTCCAGGCGCCTTCTATTTGGGCTGCTGCTGTAGCGTAGCCATGGAAGAAGTCGGGCCGGAGCACATCCTGGAGATCTTGCACTGAGTTCAAATCCATCTTGCTGTGTTGGCAATGTGTTGGGACTGGTGGAATTGCGACAAGTTGACAATTTATTTTCTTACCTTCGAGCTCTCATCGAAGATGCCCCGCAAAGACATTCCCCGCAAAGATATTATCCGGATAATTCATTGCTCGCTTCAATTTATCCCGAGACTGGGATATGCGGGTGTTTGTCCGTGGTGGTTTAGGAAGCGCAGGGATTTGGGGTACAAAAGTACAAAAGTAAGTTAAGGTATTAATAGAAAAGGAGTATTGAGAATTGAAATATGTAGATTTATACGGTGTATCACATCTAGTTGATCTTATGCTCACCGCCACAAGTAATCTCTACTTGCGACTCGTTGAAGTAAACAACCACAGTCTCTCCGCGCTCCGAGATTATAGTCACACCACCTACAACACGGCTATTTTCGAAACTGAATTGCAGCTCAAACCCTCCGCGTGCCCGCACTCCCCGGATAGATCCAGTCCAGTCCTTTGGACACGCTGGAAGGATGCGAATTACCCCAGGCTCGTGGGATTGGACCAGCATTTCGATAATGCCCGCCCCACCACCAAAGTTGCCGTCAATCTGGAATGGAGGGTGGCTGTCCAATAGGTTGGGCAAAGTAGACTTAGATAAGAGCAAGTTCAGATGCCCGCTGCATTCCTCAGCTTCGAGCAAACGTGCATGTAGGTTAAGCAGCCACGCACGACTCCAGCCAGTGTGGCCGCCACCATGTTCCGCACGTCGACGCAGAACTACCCCGCACGCTTCTGCTAACTGGGGAGTTTGTGCTGGCGTGATTGCATTCCCGGGGTGTAGGGCCCATAGATGGGACGTGTGACGGTGTCCGGGTTCGACCTCGGCGTAGTCGCTGGTCCACTCCTGTAGATACCCAGCAGGGGCGATTTGCATAGGCGGGAGGCGGGATCTTGTAGCTTGAACTGCTGGAAGAAGGGCGTCTTCGAGGCCGAGTCTCTTTGCACAGGATTGGAAGGCGTCCAGAATAGCATCAATGATTTGGATATCGATCGTTGAGCTTTCACACAATACGCCTTTTTGTCCCTTGCCGTCGTAGAACGAGTTCTCCGGAGAAGTAGACGGACTGGTGACAAGGTATTCACCATTGGCGTCTTCGATCAGGAAGTCGAGGAGAAACTCCACGCACCCACGTAAGGTAGGGAACATCCGACGAAGGAAATTTCCATCGCCTGTATATCGGAAATGGTCCCAAATGTGATAGCAGAGCCAGGCACCACCAAGAGGCCAGATGCTTGCCGGCATCCATCGATCAAAGGGGGCTGTATCGGCCCAGATATCAGTGTTCGGATGGGCTGTCCATCCTCGACATCCGTACATGATCCTGGCCGTAACTTTGCCAGGTTCAACCATGCGCTCCAGCAGGTCAAACAGAGGTAGTTCGCACTCTGATAAGTTACACATATTTGCAGACCAGTAGTTCATTTGAAGATTGACATTGATGGTGAACCTGGAGCCCCATGCCGGATGGAAGGATGGGTTCCAGATACCTTGGAGGTTTGCAGGAAGTGATTTATGTCCATCCCGACTACACGATATCAGGAGATAGCGGTTGTAGTTGTGATAGAGTGCAATGAGCCCCGGATCTGGAGAAGACTTTAGACGTTTGTCGGTTGGGACTTCAGGAGAGTCCGGCCCAAGTTGCAATTCCATTCGGTTGTACAGAGACTGGTAATCCGCAACATGACGGGCGCGAAGATCCTCCAAAGAGAAGCCCAAGGCATTTTCTGCATCTTGCATGGTTCGCTGATCAATGTCTTCGTGTCGAAATGTAGTTTGCGCCGCAACGACTAGCAGTGCATCACTGGAGTTCACCACCAGATTATTTCCAATCTTGGTAATTGTACTCTCAGCACCGTCGCAACGAATTGATACCATGCAGCACACTCGATTACTGTTTTTACCTCCAGGCGTGACATGCATGGTAATAGAGTTGCTGGTAGCACTGACGTCGTCAAGCCATTCGTGTGTTTCAAATTCCAAGTCACTCATGCGCGTTAAGCGAACGACAAACTCAGCCCTGCTCGACGAATGCATTCTGATCGCAAGCACATCGTCCGGGTAGCTGGCGAGGACTTGACGTTCGTAGCGAACACCCTGGCACTCATAACTGACATGCGCTGTAGCACTTGCGAGATCCAGCGAACGTCGATATCCTGTAACCTGACTGGGGTCATGTCCCAAATCCAAGAACAGGTTCCCCAGCGGCTCATAGTTCCGCTGGCTGATCGGGTTAGCGAAAAACGCCAGCTTGGCGATCTTCTCAGCTTCGGCATGATTTCCCGCGCGTATAGCCTCCCTCAGGCGCGGGAGATACTCGAGGGCGTCCTGTGGATTGCGATCTTGCGGTCCTCCATACCAAACTGAGTCCTCATTGAGTTGTAGCATTTCGGTGTCGGTGCGTCCATACACCATGGCGCCTAGGCGCCCATTCCCGACTGGCAGGGCTGAATTCCAGTCCTCCGCAGGTTGCTGGTACCATAATTCCGACATTTTCAATAATATCCAATGCGTCTGGTCTGCTGGTATGTATTGGGTTGATGTATCAATATGGACTAGCCCTGGGGGAAAAGGCGGCACTTCGGTCCGTCAGCCGCCAGTTTTGAGCAGAACAGGCTGAAAGACCCCCAGTCAGATAAGTCAAAGGAGCTAGAGATTATCGGAATAATCAAGAAACCGACTTGATTGCCAAATGCAAAGGATTCCGGGTAATTCTGCAAAGCGCCAGCTCTAACCCTTTCCCCGGGTGTTCTTCCTCCACCAGACTATCATTTTCTTTGTTGATCTGGGGTCGACGCAGCCACTCCACTAACATTGGTGAAAGATTCGATATTCCAGTCAACCAGACGCTAGTTTCCCCCGCACTCGCATCTCACTGGTGGGAAATCCCTAAGATACATGGCGAGGAAAGGCAATTCAGAAATTGGCGTACAAAATGTACAACGTGACCCCCATCAGTCACCAATCGCTGTCCATCCTGGCAGGTATAACACGCCACGAGCTAATCTACATCCAAGCTCATGTCTTCTCCGTGGCGAAATAGGTCGCTTGATAATGTCCTTGATGCCGACCGCTAGTTCGTCGCCCCCCTAGCTTCGCAAGATGGCTTCACCGAAGCAGAAATACCCCGGCGTATCCCCGCTCTGAGCTCGGACTTGACTACAGCTCAAGGGTCATAGACCCATATTTCTGGGATGATCATATCTCTACTCTTTCAAGTTCATTCGATCGAGTTCCCCAAACGCAACAATGACCTCGGATACTGCCTTTGTACAGGCCAAGCTGGGCAAGAGCGAAGATCTCGAACATATTGAGGAGATTGCCCTGGCACGGGTGACAGAAGAGGACCTGTGGAAGTTGTCCAAGGATTCTCTAACTCTGCGGTCATGGACCGGAGTCCGTCTGGGTCTCATCATGTTTATTCATGGTTGTAACCAAGCTGGCTTTGGAATCGACTGGGGAGTCATCAGCGGTATTAATGCTTTGGGTCAATGGCATGACTACTTCGGTTTCGAGAGCAGTGGTGGTACATATGGTTTGATCAATTCTCTGATGCAGATTGGTATCGTCTGCGGAGCTCCCTTCATGGGTTTGGCGGACGTGATCGGTCGCCGCGGAATAAATTTCGCCGGCAACGCCATTGTCATCTTCGCATCTCTCATGCAAGGTCTTGCCACGAACCTGCCGATGTTCATGGCCGGTCGATTTTTCATGGGCTTTGGCACTTCGCTCATGTCAAGCTCTCAGTACATCGGCGAGATTTCGCCTATTCATCTGCGTGGTCTTATGGTCGGCTTTTTCGGGGCATGCTTCCAAGTAGGGAGTCTTGGTATATTAGGTGCCATGATTGGACTTACCGAATTGCCTGGTAACAACTCCTGGCGTGTTCCCCTCATCCTCGAGGCTTTATTCCCCACTATTGTGTGCGTGGGAATATACCTTTTAACTCCCGAGTCGCCCCGTTATTATGTCTTGAAGGGCGATCGCCAAAAGGCCAAGGAAGTCATCGCCAAGTACCACACCACTAGCACCGACATCAATCAGCCCATTGTCGACATCGTAGTAAGGCAGATTGAAGAGTCTCTTGAGAACGACCAGACGGGCTACAGGGCCGCCTGGGACTATCGGGTCTTTTTCACCAAGACAGCCCGTTTCCGACTGCTGGTTCTGTTTTTGTATTCGCTCTTCCAACAGTGGAATGGAGGTGGTATTATCACGTACTATGTGAGTGACTAGACGGAAGGCCGCCTTATTAAGTCGTTAATAACTTTTTTTTAGCTGGCTCCTTCGTTAGAGCAACTCGGCATCAACGGCGACAAGCAGAAACTCGGTATCAACATAGGCACCACCGCAGTCTATTTCGTCTTTACGGCCGTTGGCGCGATTATAATCGATAAGTTCCGCAGACGAACCATGATCTTTGTCGGTCTTATCAGCATGATTGTTTTCCAAACGGCTACGACTATCACCTCATGGCAGTACAGTATCCATGCCACTACAGCGACGGCGGCGCTGAGCATTCTCTGGATCTTCCTCTACCAGACCTTCTCAGCGACATTTGTTGCAACCATGCACAACTTGTATCCGATTGAAATTCTCTCCCTACCACTTCGTGCCAAGGGAATGGGTCTTTACGGTCTGATCCAGGGAGGTGCCGGAGCCGCGCAGACTTACGGAATTAGCGTCGGTATTGCAAAGGTCGGGTATAAGATTTGGGTCGTGTATATCGTGTACAACTCGATCCAGCTTGTCTTGTCGTGGTTCTTATTCCCAGAGACTAGCGGTCTGTCTCTGGAGGAGATCAACACAGTGTTTGAGACCCCGGGAGTCCACCCGGTGAAGATGTCGTTGGATATTCAGAAGGCCAAGAAAGCGAGAGCAGCGGCGGGCCGGGATGAAGAGGGCAGTGCGGACCGATGAATATTCAGTAGCAGAGAAGCTGTTTTATTAAAGGGAGAAGATAATATGATTTGATGTATACTTCCCGTCATTGTTTCAGCTCCAAGCTCTAGATTCAAAGCGAAACTTTAGAGCTGTCGTCTCCGCATCAATGATGAATGTAGACAAGTTACAGACCTCTCCCAACATTACACATAGATCAAGATAAATGCACAAGTGGAACAGTTGAAACGCGTCGGACCCGAGACTGTGCCTACCCGTCGGAGAGGTGCTTGTTCTGTTACACGGTTTCCGTCCTCTGTCTTCTCAAACGTATATGAGACATCAGAAACAGCTTTGAAATATTTTGTACCCCTAAAAGGATGGTGTTGAGTTCAGATTTAAGGTGAGATCTACAAAATTGGTTGATATCAGATGATCTCGCGAGCCCTAAAAGTGCCCCTTCCTCAAGCCCATTTGCCGTTGGGATACCTAGGTACCTTATGGAGTCACTTTTTTTTTCTCCGAGACTCATCGCCACCAGTCCAGTATTAAATTACCCTAGGTCCCCTACATGTCGGCCTGCAGCGTCGCACAAACAAATCAGGTACCGAGTTAGGACCTTTTGCACTCCGATCCCTTTTTATAGCCTCTTGTTAACTGGGAGACTATTCTGATAGTTTGACCCTTCTATTGCTATCATGTGATTTGTCAAGAAAAATAAAAATAAAACGGTCAACGGGCTTCCTGCAGTTCTGTAGTGTCACAGATGACCCAGTGTGGGTGCTCTGCAGCCCTAATACGGTTATCCTTGGAAGAATTGGATGGTGACGCAAGCCAAAAAAGAGACAAAAAGAGGCTACGTGGCTGAGGAATATAGTTCAGTTGGTTCATGGGGCCTTGCTTTTTCTTTTTTTATTTGTACTGAAGATGTATGTCACTGGTTATAGAAGAGAAAAAGCCAATGGTGTTTGGGAATCGCCAATTAGAGTCAGGGCCAGACACCGCATCGATACAAGTGACATTGAGTAGGAGATTTTTGCTCTTCTCTGCAGATATCGAGGGTTCCTGAACAATAGTCCATATTGAGATCTTCATGAAGAGCATGGAGGAGAGAGAGGACAGGTAAAGTGGAAATGACGGGCAGGCTACATCAACTCTATTTTTGTGTAATCCGGTTACTCGCCTCCCATTGACCCTCGTGGCAATGGTATAGAAAAGCTAAACTTCTTTTTGATTGTCTATCAGCTGAAGGCAATCCGGATCGGATGGTTTGAGGCAAACAGCCATCTGTCCTATAGGCATCGAGATATAGAAGAATATGTAAATGTACGGAGTACACACAATATACAGATATCGTCTCATCTACAAACCCTGATACACAGAGATGTGCGCACGGCCATACGGACCGAGACGGGACTGCATCTGCCGATTGATGACCCTTCCAGCAAAATTCCTAGAGTCATGCACGTCCGGTTGTGCGGTCTGGCGATTCAAACATGGTGTCACCATGGCTTTTGCACTAAAAGCGCCAGACAAGGCAATCCAGACCGATTGGCTCGGCTTCTCGTCACGAGACAGATGGCACTGTCGCCAAATAGCAAACGGGTCATCGCTGCTCAACACGGGATGTGCAGCGCCATACTTCGAGTACCGTTGTTAGAGGCACGAATACGAAGTTTTGGCGTGAAGAAGCCGTTAGGGTTTGTTGAGATGCTCCTATATGTGTATGTGCATGTGTCTTTTGATCTCCTTCTCTTTCCGGGATGGTTCGATTGTGGCCATGCCCCCTTTTCTGCGCGTTGAGGGGGAATTTGAGTGTGATACATCCGGTACGTCGGGTATTGGAGGCGATGCTTCCTTTCGATAATGACGGTGAGTATGATCTCGTCATGATATAATTAATCGGAGATTTCTCTTGCATTTTCCCTAGCTCTTTTCGGTTCTTAGTTTGCAGCCCTTCCTTTTGCCATATTTATATGTTTGCTTCAGGTTCTAGGCGTGACATCGAATCACTCGCTTCATCTTTCGACATATATACATACTTTGTTTGAACATAATACCGTGCATATTCTCTTCACTCCTTCCAGACTCCCACATTCCGTTGCCAAAACACGGCTATAAATCTAGTTTGTTGCCTGCTACATCGACAACCTTTCCCCTTCTCTCGTGGTCCAGTCCGAGATGCCACCAAAGACTACACAAGACAACATGGTGCCCGAGGCAAAAGGAATCAAGTACGACGAATGCGAGATGGCCCTTTTCCGCGCCAAACTATCGTACCATGCCACGATTGACGAACGAATGGCCTCTCAGAACTCGAACCTGACTTCGATCGCGGAAGCCCAGGCCCGAATCCTCAAGGGATGGGAAATACAGATGCAGGGCACAAAGGATTTGGCTGGCAAGAACGAAGGTCGCTCTGCGAGTGATAAAAGAGCAATGGCACAATATGAGTGGAGATATACGGCCTTGGAGAATGCTGCAACAAAGACTACTGGGAAGGGATAGCGACAAAAGTGCTTTTCTTTTTTATTTCCTTTTCATCCTGCTATTTGCGCCATTGAATGATACGAAGGCATTGCTGGCGTTGGTTTAGAAGCTCTACAGCTTAGTTTGATGTGTTCATGTTGAAATACTATATCGAGTTTTTCACTCTGATATCTGCTCTCATAGTCCGAGGATGAGCTTATGCATCCCCTCATGCCTCCTGATTTTCGATATTTCATGTTCTATAGCGATCCCTCTCTCCTGGTTATCGGCTATGTCTAGGGACAATAATAAAATTGATTGCGTGGTGGCAATCCTGAATCCTGAATCTCTGACTCGAGAAAGAATTCGTTGAATGTCACACAGGCAGGTTGGTCAACATTGCAACAGTAACGAAGTACCTAGGTACACCTCGTGTGTACTCATGCAAAGGACTCGGGTGTCCCATTTGGTGGAAGACGTTCGGGATATATGGGAATCAGCAATAAATCCACGAATGGCTGCGTCATTGTATGACCCTGTGGACGAACACTGGTAAATACCATGCTCGACTTGATTTCCCTTCATCTCACCTCACAACTCATTCTCTGACTGCTACATTGATACACAACACTGTCTGGATGACATACCAGATAATAGGAATACCCGATGATGTAGGGCGGCTATTGTCGCCCGTATCTGTAGAATAGTGGTATCGAGAGCGTAGCAGAACCAATTGCAGGTCTTATTGGCTGGATTGTTAAATTCCGACGAACTCCGGGCTCTTCTGTGGAGGTTGCGCAGGAAAGCCATCACTTGGCACAGTAGGCGCAGTAGACGCAAATTGGATCTTTTCGATTCCTATGGCAAGGATACTAGGGTGTTCGCCCACGAACTGACCCTTGTGCCCGATGGTGTCAAGCGTTTTCCATCTTTAGCCGTGCTTAGTCTTTTGTCTGATACCATGGGAATTATGTATAACTATAGCTGATCTTCTATATGTAAATAACACATTATGTTAAAATGTCCAATCTAGAACGTCTATCTGATCAGATCCAATGAAGAAGTATGTTATTGATCATGATTATGAGCAGAGAACAGCATCCAGGAAAAGAAAAAGAAAAAGAAGAACCAGGTGCACGATTCGTGGAATCAACAAAACATTAAAGAACTACCTATGGTGAATGAGGCGAAAAGAAAACCAAAAGCCAAAGAGAGATAAACTCATCGACCCAAATGACGCCTAGCTTCTATCTTTGCAAACTCGGGTATAAAATTAAAAATGCATGGACTCATTTCTTTTCCAGTGGAAATGGTTTCGGTTCATCCGAAGCCGAGGAAGAGTAACTGGTAGGTGTGCCGCCGCCACTGTCAATACTTGCTTTCGAACGTTTTTCTCGGATAGCAAGGCGAGACTTGGGGTAGGATGGCGGCACAGGAGCGAGATATTTGTCCAATAGTTCGCTCAAAATGGGCGAGCGAACCGGTTTCGGGAGATAATTGTTCATGCCAGCCTCCAGGCATTTCTCGCGATCGCCTTCGATGGCACTTGCCGTCATGGCGATGACGAGGACTTCGTTGACATTCGGGTCGGGATCCCGGCGCAGCTCGCGGGTCGCGTTGTATCCGTCAAGAGTGGGCATCATCACGTCCATGAGGACCACGTGGAATGGGTTGCCTTCTTGGGAGCTCGCACGCAGAGCATCGACGGCTTGTTTGCCGTCGCTGTATGCGTTACACTGGAGGCCAAGCCCAGTGACGAATTTGACGGCGATCTTTTGGTTGATTGGGTTGTCTTCGGCAATGCACACTCGGATTTGGTCACGAGGGATTTGGGTGAGGTCGCGAGCTGAGGACCAACGTGCTTCGGTTTCTGCATTGCTCAGATCTTGTGACCATGCAGTCTTAACCGCCGTCTTCTTGGGTGCTTTATTGAAGACCAGGTGGAATGTCACTGTCGTTCCAACTCCAGATTTCGATTCAAGCCAAATAGCTCCACCGAGAACGTCTTCAATAATAGCTTTACAGATTGACAGGCCAAGGCCACTACCGCCATATGATCTTTCCGTGGATGCATCAGCCTGTGAGAATGGTCGGAAAAGACGAGCCTTTTGTTCGTCTGGAATACCGATGCCGGTGTCGGAGACTGAGCATTCAAGGCGAACCCGACCTTTGCCCTCGCGTGCAACTCTCGCTTTGACCGTAACTGACCCGGCAGGAGTGAACTTGTAACTGTTGCTGAGAAGATTCATGAAAATCTGGTGGAGACGAACAGGGTCGCCAAGAACGACGAGCTCTGGTGGTACCTTATCGAGGTTCTCGATGGTCTCTAGGCCTCTGTCGCGATGCGTGTATCGCAAAGCACGGATGACTTCTGATATCGTCTGTTTCAAATTGAGTGGGACCGTGGAGATCTTCATTTTCCCAGCCTCGAGCTTCGAGAAATCGAGAATGTCGTTGATGAGGGTGAGCAAGGTATCAGCACACACACGAATCGATTCAACGTATTCATCTTGCTCCTTGTCAAGGTAAGTGCCCTTGAGAAGTTCCGACAGACCAATCACGCCGTTCAT